AGTGGGCTTTTAAGACATTTCTTTTTTTAATCTAGTGTGCAGAACACAATAAGAGGGTCCGAACAGTTCTATGTACGCAGCTTGAGCTCTTTCCTTTGGCTCAACAATAAACTCCCCTGTTAAAACAAAAAAATGTCTGCAGTAGCAACAGAAATCTGCTTCATGTGAATGTGGCTCCAAACTACATCATGATCAGTATGTTAATATACCTTTACTTATAAAAAAACATGCAACAAGTACTATGTTTTTACATTTTTACGTAGATTCAGAGAAGCAAAAACTTACTGGGTGAGTTTACTGGGGATGTAGGCCTACTGTTTCCTTCATCAATCTCAAACTGAATTGGTTGCATTAATGTAACAAATAAAGGTGATCTCACAACACAATAACATTATGAAAACTTCCCCATTTTTAACTTTCCATTTAGTTTTCCATAATTCACAGGAAATCAAACGCAACATCTTGTGCAAGACACCATCTTGTGGGCATATAGCATAACTGCATCCTCCAAGGCTAAGTGTAGGAAGCAAGTCAGCTGTCAGAGAGGTTTAAATCTCTCACGTGTGGTTGCTAACAGTGAGCTATGACTGTATGGAGTTCAATGTAGAGAAATTTGCTTACTTAGATTTCTTTCAGGTGGGGGTCACAGCAACCAGGGTCCAGATGTCTACAATGTAAGTATAGAAATTTTATTTACTATCCAAAACCACCAGTGAACCTACATGTGTCTTCTGAGTTTTAGAATTAATGTTGGTAAAAAAAGTGGTAAATGTGGGGAAAAAGTTTTCTTTGGATACTATGTGCCTTACAATGCTCTGCATACACCTCTTTGTTATGAATGAATGGATTTTAGGCCAAAACCTTATCTCACAACCACTGTAAAACAATGTCTTATCCATCAGGGAGTGTATAAACATTTAATGAAATAACTTTCTGTGATGTAGCTTTTAGAGGCATTAAATTCTTCAGGCATATTGTTCCTATTACCACCACTGTGATCACTTCTAATTTGGTTAGTTTTCAGAGCATTTCACATCAAACCTGAATGACTTTGTTTACATCTTAAACATTTTATTATACGAAATATGAAATAGAGACTCAGCTTTTAAAACTAGACACATTTTAAGTTTGTTCATATCAGCTTTATAGCACTTGTACTTTTATTCTTCAGTATCATTTTTACAGACCTATGGGGCAACCTTCATATATGTTGCTGTCCAAAAAAAACAAGTATCTCCATTTTTTATCTGATTTTTGATCTGATGTAAGATCACTACTTTGCACAAGTCTTTTTATTTAAACCATTTTTTGGGTATTTATCTGTGCCAATCTAATCTATGTAATATAAAACACTGGTAAACAAACCTTTTGTCACATGAAAACTAATTTGTGTTTATACATGCTGCATGCTGAATTCAAATATGCAATCAAACTGCTCTATTACTCACAGATAGCAGTGACCTACTGTGAGTTATAGTGAGTGACCTATTGACATTGTACAGAAAAATAAGACATTGTACAGTCATTAAGAACACATTTTCTGAACACTCATCTGGATTTCTTCTCTGAGAATTTTGGCACCAGTGGAAACAGGGCCCTAGCATGCTTCCTGACCACGGTTGGACACTCCAAAACCAAAAAACAGCAAAAATCTACTACTCAGGGATGCCGGAAGTGGGGGTGCTGAGGGGGCTGCAGTTCCCCCTGATTTCAGGATTGCAACTTTTAAAAATAATAATATTAATAAAAAGCTCTGAACTTTATAACAACCCAGCAAACTCACAACATTGGCACAACATTGTCTACTTTATTACAATGTTGTCAAAGTTCTAAACAATGTTGTCACAACCTCATTATTCAGTAATGTTGCCGTACGGTGTTATGACTACCTATTTTGGAACAAAATTCCAGGCACAACATAACGGAGCTTATGAGAAGGTTGTTACAAAGTACTGAAAACGTTTTCACAGCGTTGTCAGATAACGTTGTCACAACGTTGAAATGTAATTCCTCAGTAAGTTGTGGCACCAAAACAACATAACTGTGTTTGCTGGGAACTGAGCATAGACCCATGGGTGCTAGTTTTAGAGTGGAGTTTGCATTTTTATGTTTTTAAAATCTGCTGTAGCTGTACAGTAACCTCATTTAAGTGAACTCCATATTTTCATTACAGTGAGCCAAAAACTGTTTGCTGCTTTGAGGGCGCATCACTTAATCACACGCAGACCCAGGTTCAAAGAGAGAAAGTCTATGCAGAGTTATAGGCCAGTTCTAAACCCCAATGTGGCCTATTATTGTTTTTTAAACTTTAAAAAGTCATCTACTGTAATAATGAAGTTTTTATCAACCATTATATCACCTGCTCAAAGTGTGTCTTAATGGCAAGTCGTTTTAGCCTAAAATTACACCAGTGATACAAATGTATTTCAGTTTTCAGTAAAAACATAATTCTGACTACTATATCAATGGCTGCTCATTGTGTATCATTAAAGCCCTGTTATCACACACACAGCAGTCTATCTTTTCACTCAATAACTCTGCACAATGCAAGTCTGGTGTATGAGGCAAATCTCTCGCCAATATTTACCTGCATTTGGCAAGAGGCGGGAGATACTTTGGCTTTTACATTTATCTATTAATCAATGTCATAATGTATTTTTTATAGCTTGCCAAATTGTATACATGCTAATGTATGTTTAGCTTATTTGGTTAAATTCTGATTAACCTTCAAATTTTTTAATTAAGTGGCTGCACAAGATATAGACTTTGACCTGCACTCCAGTCACTCCCTCACTAATATGACCACATTTAAAACTTTAAATGGGTCAGATTCTTCCTCTATCCTTCATTCCTCTCCTTCTCAACTACTTTCGATCTTGTGCCCTGCACTGAATAGCTACACGCATACCACCCTTTTCCTGCCTTATGTCGCTCTCATGATTATGCATTAAAAGACAAAATCCTAATTGTTTATGTATTCATTAAACCATTGGAGAGATCTGAAACATAATTTTGACTAGTCAGGATTAGATCTCCAAAACTATATTTTAAATTGCAATAATTTCAATAAAGACATCTGTAAATCTATTATGACTAGTCTTAACTTTAATTTTAGATATATTATTTCGAATTATTACTCATTCTAATGTTATTTCTACTAGTTAAAACATAATTACAGATATCTGTACCTTACATATACAAAGATAAAATCTACTTATTACTAGTCAAAACTAATAATAATAGCTAGTTATAGATCTACATTTAGCTATCAATAATATTAATATTAATAGTCAAAACAGAATTTTATATATTCTGTATTTTAGAGATCTAAACCTATACATACCTTTAAGGCATGTTATAACTAATTGTATACAACAGTTAGTTCCGGCCACGCAAGCTGATTGGTTGAGAGGCGTTGTAACCCAACGTGTGTGTGTGTGTGTGTGTGTGTGTGTATATATATATATATATATATGTATATATATACTGCTCTGTTGTAACCGTGCTGTTATTTCGCCATAACATCACGGGTTTTTCACAAACATTGTATCACTCCGCTGAGACGCCATTGCTAAGCAACGACTTTGGCGAGTTTGTACTTATTACTTTGCGCACAAACAGAAAATGGATACTTTTAAGATCACATGTGACCGACAGCCGATTTGGTCAGACTCTAAAGATGAGACTACACACAAGCTTTTCAGTCGGCAACTGTGACAGAGGAACACCTAAACAACCTGGAATAAGCCAGAAATGAACCTAATACCATTCGCCAAACGTGTGGTCTCATCTTCAGAGTCTGACCAAATCCGACTGAGCCATAAAACTGCCGCAATAAAAAACAGAAAAGCTGCTCAGTGGTGATAACAGATTGGGAATTTAGTGTAAAGAGCTGGAGAACGACCTGCCGGCTGTGCAGCCAGTGAGCGGAACTCGTTACTGTGACGCAGCAACAAGAGGCTTGTAAAGGAACTATAATTTGGCGGAAGGAATTGTTGACATTAAAACATATTAAATGACACGTTCACGTACCAATTTATTAATTTCTTACTTTATTTGTTTAACTATTTAAAGATATCTTGAATTAGCATTTCTACTATTCAAAACCCAACTATAGATATGTGGACCAGTCAAAATTAGTGTAAATATCTGTGATTAGAATTTCTAATAGTAAAAATGTAAATGTAGATATGTTTGGTTTACTAGTAAAAATTAAATCATACGTGAGAGAATAAAAATTCAATGTAAATCAATGATAGCATATGACTGGTCAGAATTACATTATTGGTATGTCATCCTGGCAACATGACTAGTTAAAATGGCTTTGTGGATATGTATACTTGATATTATGACTAGTAAAAATTACACAACAGTTGTCTGGATTCATAGTATTTACTAGTAGAAACTGCACTGCATAACACACTCTATTAGATGTAAATTGGCAAAAAAAGAAAAAAGGCGAATAATATTGCATGACCTCGTCAGTCACTTCACACATAAACTGTTTAAAATTTCAGCACCCCCAAAAACCTCTCCTTGTCCCTGTCATCACGTAGAACCCTGGGTGATAGAATTCAGCACACAAACATCACCTTTAGTTCATCTGACATTTTCTGTCAGTGCAACTTTCTTAGAGCTCTAGAATACATTCAGTTTTAAAACTGACAAAATATCTAAATTTGACCAGAGAATCGAAAATCGCATCGAATCTGAAATATAGGCATCGTTACCACCTACAAGCGACTATGGTTTTTCACGGCCCTTCTCATTTCTCTCTGATCGCCGTTTCGTCCATCCTCACCGAGTAACGTTCAACTCTCGAGACTCTCGAAACTCGCGAAAAAGAGGCCGCGCGACACACTCGATAGTTAGCTATTAGCTTCCTGTGTGAGTCAGTGACAGGAGACACGTTTGTTATTAATACAGCAGAAATGCTCCGTATTCTGGTTTCATTTACATAACAAACTGAATTATACACACAGTGTCCCGAAGTTAATAACATGGAACTCTCTGTCATTACCGTAAAAGGTAAGACGCGTCGTCAGAAGACTAGCTAACGTTAGAGGCGAACTTTGCTAAGTTTAGGGTGACTAGCTTGCTGTGGTAGTAAGGTTAGCTAGCTAACTAGCCAAGTAGCTTCACTACTTCCAAGTGATAACCTAGGTACCGCTAGACATGTCCAGTGTGGCTTATATTCAAAAGCGACGCTAGGTTATATTACACAATTTCCACTAACGTTAACTGAGAGATACCGTTATTATAATCTTTGTTTTCTCTCCTAGGCCTCTCAGAGAAACTCCTTCACAAACAATGTAATGAAAGCGTGAACGAAGTGATTGAGAAGCTGTTCGATGAAGTTCTGCCACTTGAGAAACCCACTACAATACAGGACTCGGAGGTGGCTAAGTTGCCTGTTTTAGGATGAGTTGTAGTGCCTAAAGTCTGAAGCCACAGGCTGCAAGTCCCGGTCATTTGTTACTTTGCCATGCATTTTGCTGGACATTTTTGCTGTACATTTGTAGGTCGCGTAACCCCTGATGTTTTTAAATGAAATGGCAGGAGCACTGCTAGTAGTCAGGAGTGCATTTTACACTGATATGAATTTGGTTGAATGTTTTAATAAAAATAGATTAAAATGGATGGGAACTCTGTCAAAGGAAAAATAGAAACATCTGGTCTTTGAGATTTGTAACAAGCACTTGGAAGGTCAAAATGAAAATGTAAACGATAACAAGAATATTTTTTTCCTCTTGAAAATGTGAGTAAAAGTACTCAAAAGTGTTCCATTCCAGTTAACCTACTTGAGTAAAGTACAAATCTTGCACAACAGTACCTCTTTGAGTCTTGAATTTAAGGAAACCAATTTTAATCAAACTAAAAAATGAAAGTACTCTTTGAGTAATGATATAAATTCTACTCCCAAATTCCAAATAATGTGAAAACATTCATTGCTGGCTCAGTTGCATCCAGAAAGTAGAAAAAACCTTTTCAGCAATTAAGTAGATTAAGAACATCTCCCAAATACTATGACCTCAAAAAAGTTACCTCAAGAAACAAACTTCAGATGACCCACAAGAACAGAAGGGTCATGTTACAGTTTGCTAAAAGTTCATAAAAAAGCCAATAGCATTCACTGATAAAGTTTAGTGGACAGATGAGGTGAAGAGTGATAGGGAGAGGGATGTGGAGGGAACAAAGCAGCTGCTTAGGATCTGAATTTACCACTTCATCTGTGATAGATGGTGGCTTAGGTATTTATGTTTATGTTTAGAAACACATAGTTTTTTGTTCATATTTAGAAGTACAAAGCCAAACGATTTGTGTACATTTGAAGTGGATCTGTGCCCTGGAAATATTTTAATAACAAAAACAAAAGTGCCTGAATACTTGTTTACCCACACTGTGTATGCCAAAAGGTGAGAAAAATCAAATCTAAATCTCACTGATCATACATTTCAGTTACTGAAGAAGATTGAGGGCAAAAACAAGAGCTAAAATTTTTGGCATTACAGGCCAGGCAGAGCTTCACCAGAGAAGATACTAGAATCTAATGATGTTGGTGAGTCACAGAATTCAGCTGGTCATTGATTGTCCAGGATTTGGAACCAAGCACTAAATATGACGGTTTAATTTCATTTGTCCAGCTACTTTGGTAACCTTAATTGCACATCCAGTGCACCCTGTCATTCTGCCCTTTAACCTCATTTGTTTAATTTTAAGTGAGATGTGTTGGAGTATAAACCTAAAGCTGTACAGACTGCTTTGTAAATAACAATATGAGGTTTGATAACAGTTTTTGGCTTGTGAGTCTGATGAATGTGTGGTGTAACTATGTACCTTCTATGTTCCCTCTACAGTGACCGTAGTAAACTGAATTAACCTGTACTTTAAAGATGCTTTGGCTCGTTTGAGCAAGTTTGCATGTCCCAGGATCCTGGAATGTCCTTGAAGGTTGATTGGGTAGAAAATACCTGAGTGGTTATGCTTTGAAACTACATCTTAGTATTATTTTGGAAGATTTGTACTTAAGTATTATTGAAATGGATACTCTTACATTTCCAGGAGGAAGAAAACTTTTTACTACTTACATTGTCATTTAAATCAGGCGTGTCCAGTCTTACCTGTAAAAGGCGTGGCTGCAGGTTTTCATTCCATCCGGTTGCAGGAGCACACATGATCAGTTGTTTAAACTGAGTCATATGCTCCTGCTTGTTTGGAATGAGAAACTGCCACCACACCAGCCCTTTGTGTGTAACATTGTGCACCCCTGATTTAGACCTTTAAAGCTTTAAAGCAATCTCAAATGCAGATTTCTACATTTCTATCTCTCAGATTTCTATCTTTTTTCGTCTCGTCTCGTTACACTTTTTTTCTTGAAACTTGTATCACTGTAAAATGGAGTTGCTCCTACTTAATGTTTTATGTTTGTGCGAGGACCAGTACTAGACAAGACACTAGCGAAAAATGTAGGATTTTTTCAGACTCAGACAATGCTGCTAAGGCTAAAACAAAAAAAAAAAAATCAAATTTCACCCAAAAATTCTCTTCATGTTTTGTTTTTGTAGGTTGAAGAAAATGCTATTCAGTTGTGGAACTGGGCTGTGACCAAAAATATTGGTTCGAATATCAACAAACAACAAAAAGCGAAAGGTTCTATTTCTGTGCTGTTATCATGGGGTTAAACAGTAGTTAGTAGTTTTTGCTTAACCTGTTAAATGTCCAGGACCCACTGGCAGGTCCAGAGTTTTACTACACACTATTACAACCTAAGAATAACTCAGCTAGTTTGCATTGCAATTTAAGTAGTTACTGAATAATAAGCCTTAGTATTTAATAAGCCTTAAATTTTGTCAAAACACCACGAGATTTTATTTTTCTTATGTGTGTTTCAGTGCGTCATGTGGCCTGCAGACTCCTTTATTTATGTGAATCTGAGAACCCATCAGAGAATGCCATTCGCAAGCAGATTTTGGTTTGTCTGTCCTCTTACTGCATTTCTTATTATTTTTCAGAATTCCTCCCTTTGTTCTGAAAACACTAATTATTTTGAACTCTGTTTTATAATGCAGTTTATGCAACTTAGCATCTCATCTTTTTTGCTGGTTGAAAATTAATTGCATTTTAAAATCTGTTTTGCAGATGGCCAGTAAAACAGGAAGGACATGGCTTGATTGTAAAAACCCCAAACTTGCTGATGATTTTTTAAGTCTTGCTGTCAACGTAAGTATACATTTAGCATTTTCAATATGTATGCTCACAAAATGTGGGACAAAATGGAAGTATACAGGATAGGGCATCACACATAGGTATTGTGCATGTTAAGCCATGAGGCTGCAGTGCTGTGAAAAAGTGTTTTCCACCTTCTTAATTTTTTCTATTTTTGCATGTTTTTCATACTGGGATGTTTCAGATGATCAGACTGCTTTTGATATTAGATATTAGACAAGGATAACCAAAGTAAAGGCAAAATGCTGTTTTATTTCGTTTATTGAAGGAAAAATCCTGTTCAGCCTGACATGGCCCTATGTGAAAAAGTATTTGCCTCCTTAGCTACTAAATCAAGCAGTTAACCAAATTCAATTGACTATTCGTTTCACCAGCCACACCCAAGCATGATTATCACCAGACCTGTTGATCTAAACATCACTTAAATAGAACCTGTCTGGAAATGTGAAGCAGGTGAGAAAGTCTCAAAAAGCAGCCCCTGATGCAACGATCTAAAGAAATTTAAGTACGGATGCGAACAAAGTCATTGATATCTACCGGTCTGGAAAAGGGATACAAAGCTATTGCTAAGGCTCTGGGACTCCAGTGAACCACAGTGAGAGCCATTATCCACAAGTGGAGAAAACTTGAAACAGTGGTAAACCTTCCTAGGAGTGGCTGGCCTACCAAAATTTCACCAAGGACTTAACCATGAGGTCACAAAAGAACCCAGATAATAAGAACAATAAGAAAGACACTGGGCAAAAATGGCAATTATGGGAGAGGTGCAAGACGTAAACCACTACTGACCATTAACAATGAATTGTGCTCTCTGTCAGAAAATCCTGAAACAGAATGTTCGCCCATCAGTTTGTGACCTTAGCTCAAGTGAAGTTGCGTTATGCAGCTGGACAATGATCTTAAGCACACAAGCAAGTCGACCTCTTAATGGCTCAAAAGTAACATAATTAAGGTTTTGGATTGGCCAAGTCAAAGTCCTGACTTTGAGATACTGTGGCAAGACCTTAAATGGGCAGTTCATGGTTGAAAATCCTCCAGTGTAGCCAAATTAAGACAATTTTGTTTTAGAGTGGGCCAGAATTCTTCCACAGTGATGTAAAAGACTCAACGCAGGTTATCACGGTTGTTTGATTGCGGTTGTTACTGCCAAGGGAAGCACAACCAGTTGTTGGGCTTAGGGGGGCAATTACTTTTTTCACATGGGTGATATAGTTATTGAACAAATCTTTTCAATAAATGGAATGATCACTTAAAGCTGAATTTTGCGTTTACTTGTTCTTATATTAAAATTAGTTGGAAATTGGCTTTGGGCAAATACTTTTTACAGCACTCTATGTAGACTTGCCAATTTTCTCTGATGCAATGCTTGTATTTTTTATGTTTTGTTTGGATAATGTATTTTTGATCTAAATATATCCCCTTGATACTGTAATAATGGATGTTTTGTATGATTTCACAGAGCCTGGAGACTCTTTACTGCAGACTAACATCCCATGGAGATTCTGTTGCTGATATCAACACACTGAAAGGAGATGTAGAGAAAGACCTGCTACGGGTTCTCTCTTATCAAGCTGAATCAGTGAGCAAAGATAGCTTGTGTATAGTACATATGTTACTCTTAAGTGAAGTAATCATTCATTGCAATGAGTATGAAATGACTGAAAGCGAAGTTATTACAAGAAACAATACATGAATAGATAGACAGTGTATAAATAAAAAGAAACAGACTTTATTTAATATAATGGTGTTTCCTTTGCAGGCAGTTGCTCAAGAAAAGCACCAGGAGGCAGTCTCCTGCATACAACGATGTAAAGAGATGCTTCTGAGGCTTCCCAAGGAGGTGTGTCATTTTTTCCTCTAAAAATATCTTGATCTTATGTTCTTGTTTTTTCATTTGCTATTCTAATGTATTTTGCAAGATATAAGTAAATATTAATATATTCAAAAATTGCTTTCCTATTGAAATTTTTTTCTAGACTGGCTATCTGTCTCTCATTTGCTACAACTTTGGAGTAGACACATATAATCAGCATAAGCATGAAGAGAGTTCATTTTGGCTCAGGTGAGACTGTACTGAACTGTAAATATAAATGTGTTAATCAGTACAAATGATAAATTGGCAGTGTTGCTGCTCGTATATTATTATAGATTATGAGGTGATTTTTTTATTCACATTGCATTTCTTTAGTTTAAAATGATTTGGTATGATGAGCTTTAAAAAGAATACTTTGCTCAAAAGTGACATTTTTACATTTAGTTGTCAGACTTATGATTTATTGTCATTTTCAGTCAGAGCTATGATATAGGAAAGATGAATCCAAAGTACTCCCCAGGACCAGAGATGCAAGTAAGTATTTGGTAAACTTTTTTTGCTACTCTTTAAGCAGTTAATGAAACTGCAGTATATTCTCTTTTCAGGCCAAAGTCTTGAGACTTCTTGCTACAGTTTATTTGGAACTGGATTGTCACAAGGATAAGGATAAAGCTCTTCATGCAGTGAACCTGGCAAATAAGGTATAATGCTATAAAAGTAAACACCGCAAAGTTTTGCTAGTACTTGTTTAAGAAATGGTTAGACCAGTGGTCATTAGCCTTCTTTCTGGAGATCTACCTTCAGTGCTGACCCCCCCTTACAAAGGTGGTAAAAACATTTCAAAAACACTATTTTTTTAATTGGCGATGTGTGACCAATATTTCTAACCCGACTAACCAGATCATTTTCTGCAAAGACTGACGACTGGAAATCTATGGATATAAATTTAATGTATTTATTGATTTATTTATCCCCCAGGAAACCTTTCATCCAGCAGGCCTTTTTCTGAAAATCCGCATTTTGCTGCGGAGTGGAGCATCAGATGAAGTGGTTAAAACCGGTGAGTCAGAGTATTTTAATGATCTAAGTTCTGGTTCTAACAACAGCTAACAAATATGTATTGACCTACATTCAGGTAAGGGTCACTCAGAGCTATGCTTTATCATTCTTGCCCTTCTACTCTCTCTCTGTTTAATAGGACTAACAGAACTGCTTGACTCTGAGGTTCCTCTGGATGTGTGTCTGAGCACAGCAAAAATGCTGATGGCAGAAGATAGGTAACAACTGTCATAACTAAATATTCCCTTGTACACTGTCTAATGTTTTTTGTTTTGTGTTCCATGCCCATATTAAGAGAGTAGGGCTATCATTATGTGTTCTTAGAGAAACTCTATCCTTCGACTTCCTGAAGAGGATGTATCAGCATTTTGAGTCATCTCCTGACCTGGGCACTGTACTCCTGTTGCATATTGAGCTGCTGCTGCAGAAAGGCAAAGAGCTGCTGGGCAAGCAGAAAATTGAGGATGCAATCACAGGTACTGCCAATTAAAGTACAAGCTAAACTTCGATTGAGTCTGCTAACCTAAGCTAAATCACCCCGACACTGTAATTCAGTGGCATGCAAATACAAACCTCACTTCTAAAAAAGTTGGGACAGTATGTAAAATACTAATAAAGACGGACACAGTGATTAGTAAATTCGGTCTAACCTGAATTAAATAGAAAACAATACAAATGCAATTTTTGTGAATACACTGATCCAGTTTTGAAAGTGAAAATTTTTGCTATTCTTTCATTATGCATGTCTTCAGCTGTGCAACTGTACAGGCCTTCATTGTTGTGGTCTATTTTGTGTGCCTGACCACAGTATACATTTCCACTGAGCATTAGTGCATTTAAGATTAGCTTGAGCCCCGAGAAGTTGGCAGCGCTTCTGGATGTTGTATGTGGCTTCCACTGTGCGTAACACAGCCCTAACTTGCATTTGTAAAGCAGTGAACAGTGAACAGTGTTTATAGACAACAGTTTGTCGAAGTATTCATGAGCCCATGTGGTGATATCCAGTACAGAAGCAGCAGTGCTGTCTGAAAGATCAAAGTTCTCAAGCATTCAGTTGTGTTTTTTGACCTTGCCCTTTATGCACAGAGATTTCTCCTGATTTCCTGAATCTTTTGATTTTTTTTTCAGTAGACAGTGAAATATCTAAAAATTTTAAAATCACCTCTTCAGGAACTTTGTTCTTAAACTAGGGGAATTTTCTTGCTGACACATTTTGGCAAAGTACTGAGCTCCAACCTATCCATGCTCATAAAGGACTAGGCCTTTCCTGGCTGCTCTTTTTTTTACATTTTATATAGCATGATTGCATCAGCTGTTTAAGATGTTTTCTTTGCATTTCACGATATTTCTAGTCTTAAGTTCTAGTCCCTGTTCCAGCTTTTTTAGACCATGTTGCAGGCATCAGTTTTAGAACAAAAAGTTTTATTTACAAAAGTAATTTAGTTGATAGGGTAAAACATTAAATAATGTCTTTCTACTGTATTTGTTAAAATATAGGTCTAAGTGGATTTATAACTCACTGCTTTCTGTTTACATTTGCATTCACATACTGTGCCAACTTTTTAGGAACTGAGGTTTGAACTAAGTAGTGGCGCCATGTTAATTAAAAAAGAATGTTGAACTGCAAATGTTGGGCAGACCTTTAATTGCCCGCTGTCCCATGTCTGTTCAGGTCATTACACAGGAAAGCAGTTATCACCACACACTCTAACTTCCCTCCATCTCCTTTTATGGGACAGAGCTTCTAAAAATTTTGAGGTACTAATAGTAGCACCCTTTTTTCTATAAATCCCACAAACTACTGTGTTAGTTGTACTGTTTATTAATTATTATTGATATTATTGTTATTGTTGTCATTATTATTGTAATTATTACTACACAAGTGACATTTTTGCTGCCTAGGCCAAAAACTACTCAGAGGCTCTGCAGTGGTACAACTACTCACTGAGTTTTTACAAGGCCGGTCAACTGGATCAGAACCTGGCAAAACTGCAGAGAAACCGAGCAACCTGTTTCCTTAATTTGCAGCAACTAGACAGGGTACTTTTTGGCCAACAGTACATTCACAATAGAGCAATAATGCTTATGAGAGTGCTCACAGCCACACAAATGCAAATTTCTTTTTAAAAATTAAGCACAGTAAATCTTTGTTGCAGGCAAAGGAAGCTATTTCGGATGCTGCCAAGTGTGATCCAAATAGCATCTTCACACATTTTAGTGTCTTTAAGATTGCTGTCCTGGAGAAAAATTTAGAGAAGGGTCAGTTTATGCAATGTAATACATTAAATATACTGTATATAATACTTGAAGAAAAGAAAATAACGCTTCAACAGTGTCATTGAAATGGATCATCATTATGTAAACTGTGCCGCTTAGCTGCTGAGGCTGTAAGAGAGATTGGGGTCCTAGCCCAGGTGCCTGTGACCAGCGAGGACAGGCTTCATGTGACTGAAAATGCTGCGGCCAACCTTCTCAGCCTGGCTGCTCAGATTGCCCTGGAGGTCAGTAAAAACAGCATGTAAATACAACCCATTTCCAAAAAAGTTGGGAAAGAAGTAAAGATGAGGAGGGGTTCACCACTCTGTGAAAGACTGCACGATCAAATAGTACAACAATTCAAGAATAACATTTCTCAACATAAAATAGCAAGAACTTTTGCTTTTCATCTTCTACGGTACATAAAATCATTAAAAGATTCTGAGAATCTGGAGAAATCTCGGTATGCAAGGGACAAGGCCAAAACTGGCCATAATCTTTGGGCCCTCAGGCGGCACTGCATTAAAAACAGACATGATTCTGCAGTGGAAATCACTGCATGGGCTCAGAAACACTTCCGATAAACACTGTCTGTGAAAACAGTTAATCACTGCATCCACAAAAGCAAGTCAAAACTCTAAAACGCAAAGAAGAAACCATGTATAAACAGGATCCAGAAATGCTCCCACCTTCTCTGGGCCTGAGCTCATTTAAAAAAAGTGTAAAAGTGTCCTGTGGTCCAATGAATCAACATTTGAAATTCGTTTTGGAAAAACATAGATGCTGTGTCCTCTGGGCAAAAGACCACCCAGCTTGTTATCAGTGTACGGTTCAAAAGCCAGTATTCCTGATGGTACAGGGGTGCATTAGTGCACATGGCTTGGGTGACTGGCACATCTGTGAGAGCTCCATTAATGCTGAACGATATATACAGATTTTGGCAACATATGCTGCCATCTACACAATGTCTTTTTCAGGGAAGGTCTTGCTTATTTCAGCAAGACAAAGCCAAACCACATTCTGCATGTATTACAACAGCATTGCTCCAAATTAAAAGAGTCCGGGTGCTATACTGACCTGCCTGCAGTCCAGACCTGTCACCACTGAAAACATTTGGCACATTATGAGATGAAAAATATGACAAAGGAGACCCCGAAATGTTGAGCAGCTGAAATCCTATATCAAACAAGAACGAGAAAACATTTCACTTTCAAAACTACAGCAGTTGGTGTCCTCAGTTCCCAAATACTTAGAGTGTTTTTTTAAAGAAGAAGTAATGAAACAGTGGTAAACATGCCCCCATCCCAAATGTTTTTGGAACGTGTTGTTTGCATCAAATTCAAAATGGGCATATTTTGAATTTTATATTTTTCAAAAAACAATCAAATTTCTCAGTTTCAACATTTGCTATGTTGTCTTTATAGTATTTTCCTTTTAAAATATGATTTACATGATTTGCATATCATTGCATTCCATTTTTATCTACATTCTGTACAGCGTCCCAGCTTTTTTGGAAATGGGGTTGTAGTTTACCTATTATTTTGGTTTAGAGTCCTGGTAGTCGCGCTGACCTCCATCACCATTCCATTGTTATTTAACTACCTTGAGCAATTTGTACCAATAGACAATCTTGATGATGAATTTTTTCCAGTATTCTCATTGTGTTTTATTTACTGTAGAATGAGCAGCTGGAGACAGCCATGAAAGCCTTGGAGAGTCTGTGTGAACACTCACAAGATGCAGAACAAGTGTTCACTGCCCTCAGGTTTGTCACACATAAACAATCTCTAGCCTGGAACCTCTGACCTTGACCCCTTTCTTGCATATGCTAATGTCAGAAAGTGAAAAACAATTTTTTAGTGCTGACAGTGAGAGAACAACCTGAGAATAAAAAGCAGTGTCTTTTGAAATCTCTGTTTGGTTTACACCAACCTTTTTCAGGTGTTTAGTTCGACTTGTGCTTTCAACAATGGAGAATGACAATGAAGAAAAGAGGTTAGTGGATCACTGCTGTCTGCTTGTGACAGATGGTCACAAATATGATTTCTATCATACAATAAATGCTAATATTTGTAAGGGCTCAGCTCTTTGCTCTTCTGCGTCTTGACACATTCTTTCAGCTGTCACAGGGATGCCAGTTTAGATGTCCTCTTATCATATCTGAAGATGGGTAGGTCTAATAAAATGGATGAGATAGGTAGGAACCACTATATAAATATCAGATAAAAGTGTAAGTGCATCTCTATGTAGCCTTCTTCTGTCAATTAAAAAAACACAAATGCAATTTATCTTTGCTTGTGTGTGAAGGAGAGAACTGCTTTGTTCTATTTGTTTGTACAGCACTGAAGAATGTGCCCCAACTCAACCAAGTGCCTGTCCAGGAAACTGACCAGTGCTCTGAGGAGGCCAACTGGTTCAGGAGGATTGGTAATAATTGCACTCAGCCTGTGATATACACTGAAATTGATTACTCTGTTTATAGGACTGTGTAGCTCTGTGAAGTTCTGTAGTCTCATATTTCATTTCCTTTGTTAGCATGGAATACGGCCCTGCAGTGTGAGAGTAGCCCTGTTAGAATGAAAGATTTTTTTGTCCTCTCCTATCAGGTAAATTCTCATAGAATACCACACGCATATCTTAATCTTTAATGGCAGAAACACAGTCACCGAGCACTTTGTAAGGGACACCTGTACACCTCCTTATTTATGCAATTATCTAATCAGCCAGTCAAGTGGCAGCAGGGCAGTGCATAAAATCATGCAGATACAGGCCAGCAGCTTCAGGTAATGTTTACATCAACCATCAGAGTTGGAAAAAAATGTGATCTCTGATTTTGACTGTGGCATGATGGTCGGTGCTGGATGATTGTTGGTACTCAGAATGGTGCAATAAAGAAAAACATCCAGTCAGTGGCAGTTCTGTGGACAGAAACGCATTGTTGATGAGAGAGGTCAGTGGAGAATGGCCAGACTGGTACAAGCTGACAGAAAGGCTATAGTAACTCAGATAACTACTCTGTACAATTGTGGTGAGCAGAAAAGCATCTCAAGCAGACAAATTTCCAGTGTCGGAATAAAATAATGGGAGTCTTGCTGGAGTTGCGTTGCGCTGCGCTCGCATCATTTCGATCGTTTAGTGTGAGGTGGTCAGGATGGAGGTCTTAGGTCAGTCTTTTTCTCGTCTTGATGCTGCGATAAAATCAACCGCGTTTGATATTATTTTAGGTTTTAAGTCTTGGCTCTTGCAAATAGTGATGTGCCAAGGGTGCGCGTGAGAGCGAGCGGACGAGCACATGCTCGAGGAGAGAGAGAGAGAGAAAGAGAGCCTGAAATCTCTGTAAAAAAGGGCATATCTGCTCCACTTTAAAACAACAATCATATTTACTTAAAATGTAATCTGGCTATTTTAATATTTCATGCTCACTGAGCCTGTAATAGTAATGTAATGAAATGTGCAGAGGACTTGCAGAAGAATGGCATTATTGAAGAATCATCAATGTTTTTTTTTTTGCTTTCTGTTACACTGGTTTCTTATTTTATTTGTTTGTTTTTTATGGTTTAGTTCATAACACCTAATCAACAATGCTGAATCACTGCTTTTTTTGTTGATAAGTGTTTATGTCAAATTTAAAAAGTAGCTGCACATTTTACAGGTTAATTTAAAAAAACACTGGGTGATGATCCGAGTCCCAGATCTTTACATGCTCAGCCAACGTATCTTCCCATCTGTACCACTATAGAGTGGAAGGAAAAAGTGTTTATCTGCTTGTAAATTTACACCAGTGCATAATGGGGAATAATCTCAAAAATCTAGTTGCAGTCTTACAAAAAAAGACACTTCAATATTCCTAGTTTTGCAAGATCATACTTTGTGACTAAAAACTGTGACTGTGAGAGGGTGTCAGACTTTAGTCTTTCAAAAGTCTTTCAAAGTCTTTTCAAAGTCCTCTAGTGTATGGTTAGCATAAGGTGGATGGGCTACAACAGCAGAAGACCACATCGAGTTCCACATGTGTCAGACAAGAATAGAAAGCTGAGGCTGCAGCCTCACAAACACTGGACGGTTAAAGACTGGAAAAATCTCACCTCATCTGATAAATCTCAATTTCTCTATGGAAAAGCTCCTGAAAAATGAGCATGTCAACAGACATGGCAGCATGGACTAGAATCTCAAAGGAATGTTTTCAACATCTTGTGGATTCCATGCCATGTAGAATTGAGGCCATTTTGAGAGCAAATAGGATGCCCTATAGAATAGTACTCAGTGTGCTCAGTGAGTGTACTTCAGCCAGCTTCAGAGAAATAATGTTTCAAATATTTGTTTTAATGAAACATCTTAATTGTAAAAGAATGTGCTCTAATTTTCCCTTTTTCTTCTCTTGGTGGCATAGCTGTCACGGTTCTGTGTTCCAGACAAAGGTGTGTTGATGGGGCAGAAGACTTGTTTGCTGATGGCTGCTGCTGCCTGTCTGGAGATCTACAGGATGTTTCCTCAGTCTGAACAACAGGTAGACAAACCATATGACATTATATAACATTCACTACTAAACCATTCAGAATATGATTTTTTTCTATTTCATTTATTTATTGAAATGCCTAAAGCATTAATGTTAAAAAATACAGGCTTTAAATTGATTTTAACAGCAAACAGAATTAGTATTCTTAATTTTAGTAAACGTGAACTGAAATACCTGTGTTAGTTAAATAGTATTAGATACCTAATTATAGGTAATATAATTATATTAGTCTAAATAAACATACAGTTGACCCAGTCGATCTCACTTTTTGGTCTTCTTGTTGTTACCTAAACTATCCAGGAGAGGGTGCAGTATCTCACCTGCTAAATCTACCATGTCTTTCAGACTGAGGTCCTAACTCAAGCTTTGGAGCATATTCAGATGTGCTGGGAGGTCTGGAGAGCTTTAAAATGTACAGTAAAATTATTGTGATATTTGTAGAGGCTAATATTTGTACAGACACAGATATTATGTACAGGTACAGGTATCATCTTCAGAGTGATTTATTTCACAAACATTACTTCAACTTACTTCTTTAGGTGACTGTTGTAAAGACCCCACTGAAACCTTATTACTTTTGTATGAGTTTGAGGTTCGCGCCAAGTTGAACGACCCCAAGCTGGAGTCTGTGCTGGAGTCAGTTCTGGAGCTTGATAACATTGAAACCAAAGTGCTAGAGACAATTGCAGGTGAGACATAAATGTTTATTGATTCATCTAGCTACTGGTGCCTGATGGGATGTAGTTTTTCATATTCCTACATCTAAAAGTACAGACTTGAAGAATTCAAAGAGTTCAGGCTGGACTTACTCTAAGATTGTGTGGGTTTCATTCTTTATTTGTCCCTCTGATATCCGATCAGCAGATTATGCAGTTATCATCCTAATACTGATACCCATTTATACTGATATGCCGTCTATAGTACACTGGTTATGAGAAACTTTACCTTGTGTTTGCAGCCTTAGCTATGGAACCCCCGGCCCACTTCCCGGCGCTGTGTAAGAAAGCTTTGAGAATTGCCCTCTCTCTACACAAACAAGGCCCGCATGCAGATTTGTCACGCTGCAGGTAAGTCTAACAAGTTGATAAGTTGGTACCATGTTGCTAGATATTACCTAATTATTGACAAATCTCACAAATCAGAACTTAGTAATATTTTTTTCTCATGTTTGCTCCCAACAGTAACTGTTTGCACAGTCTGATCCAGCTATCTCTGCCCAGTGGTGTGTGTGAAGTGGAGCCCCACGTGTTAGAGGAAGTGTGGGGTTACTATGAAGAGGCCTTGTCCATCATTGCAGCAGTGAGTTGGCCAACATGACTCACCACCAATCGCACATGACCTACTGTAGCTCAGCCATGCAATTACCCCCATCTCTGAAAAGATCTCCTGTTTCTGTCAATGGGCTTTTAGCCTCACTTCAGTTAGCAGATGCTCCATTCACCAACCTCTTCCTGCCAATTTGGATGCCTAATTGAAAATCCTTTTTGTAGCCCTTGCCTTTTGGACTGATTTTAAAGGAAACTAACTGGTGGTGCTGTTCTGAACACATTAAGAACGGTCATGAATATAAATGGGTATGTTACTTTTGTCAGAATAACTCTAAAGGCAAATATATGTAGCATCAATAGCTTATACACTGTTAATAATCATATTCAAAAATGTATATTTAAATTGGCTCTGTTCTGTTCCTAAACTTGAACAAATATATTCAAATTAAGATGTCCTTTATTACAAGCTGTTCTTCTAGACAGCTCTGTAGTCTTCAGAGTTCAATTATTGACAGTTCATTAGACTAAACTGTTCTTTGATTCTAGCCTGCTTTACAGTTTTTGCTTTTGCCGCCAGTCAGAAGACTTCCCTGAACTGGAGATCCTGTGGCTGCTGACCCGAGCATGGAACACAGGGATACTGCTGTACAGTCTGGCCCAGTACCCTGAGGCAGAGAAATGGTGTGGCTTGGGGATGAGCTTTCTGCGCCACCTGGGCTCCCTGCAGGAGAGCTATCAGACTCAGGTATAAAATCAGGGGTGGATGAGTCCATGGCGTGTGAGGGAGGGGCAGACTAAGGTCTTTGCAGCTGTAAACAAAAATAGGCTTCGGTATTCTAACAGAAGAAAGGGATTTCATTTATATATTTCATACTTTTCTTTCCCTTGAGGGTGGTGACAATCTATTCTGTAGTTTGTCATTGTTATTTGTTGTATTGAAGTACAACCCTGACATTATTAGCTGTAGTTAATAATAGTGATGGGCTTGCTGTAGCATGGCTTGGTTTAGTTACACATCGTGCAAGATTTATTAAGAGCCATGTCAAATTCAACTGACAACCAATGTCAGTGCCTTGAATACAAAATGCATTTGGTAAAGTATGTTATTTTTCAGATGTCTGGTCTATACAGTGAGGTGCTGGACAGGCTTGACAGAGCCAAGAAGACTTTCATAATAGAGGAGCAACAACGGTTCTAGTCACTTTTGTATTTGTTTTGTGTTCATTAACAGCAGAATTCCTGTAACATTGTTTGGGATGGTCATAAATTCAGATTATTTGCCATTCTATAAAGTTTGTGTTTTGCAGTATACTAAGATTACCTGACTTTTTGGCTGATGGGAGATTGAAAAAATAAAACACATTCAAATCTGAACAGAACCACATATTTTATTATTTCCAAACAAATAAACTCTTGTCCAGTCCAAAAAAAAGAAAGGGGAAAAATAAATAAAATAATTAAAAAAAAAAAAAAATCTAGGACTGTTCCCTCCTGACCAGGATACTTGAAGACTTGTTTTCCTTGTGTCCTGATAGGTTCTATCATTTGTATTCACAGGGAGGACACCACTGTACAATCAATTCATACTTGCAAGCACTTACTGCACATGTGCTTTCACATCAATAACTAATCATCACCCAAAAAGACAAACCAGAATCCTTGTGCCCCACCCTTAACAAGTTTATTTAAATCTCTTCTCTGGAGCAAAGATTGACACCCTCCTCAGTACACGCAGGATCATTCAGAATCAGTGGAGGATTCAGCAATCTCAATAGAAAGAGTACAATGAATGAAAATTCTTTGGGCTTTACTGACATGGCTGACTGACACCAGACACATTAACAGTCAGCTGTTTTTTTTTTCCCACTTGACACCAGAGAGGACCAGTTCTACACTAAATGAGTTAGTTATGCTCCTGGTTTACTTCTTCTCCCTACAAGTTGCTGTATGCATCTCTTGATTTATATATTTATATAAATATGTGTGTATATATATATTTATATTACTTTTTACAATTTTTCATCTATACACTCAGACAAGTTCCACAAGATATCACAAATAGACAGGCCCTAGTTTAGGGAAGTCGATTCCCAACTGACTAGAAAATGTGTTGTGATAGGCAGCTGAAGATTTTTGTCTATAGAGAAATACCCACATTACGGCACATTTGTATGGAAATTAATCTCAGAATAATTCAAAGTTTACTTACCTGACATTTGTGATTTATAAAACATTGTCCCAGTTGTTTCACACATGCATGAAGCACAAGTGAGGGGGATATTTACATTTTACAGCTATCACACCCTTTGAAACAGTCTGTAAGCAGTTTATAAATGGCTCTGTTCCCTTCGATTATTCCCTGAACTCTGGTTTTGACACAGGTATGACAGCTGGTTTAGTGGAGATGTCTGGCAGGTGCGCACACCTGCTCAGAAAATGCCTGCAGAAACAGGAGCTGGGGTGTAGAGGGCACAGCAATTTCACTTCCGGTGGGCAAGAAAATGCTGGTCTGGTTCTTGTACCTCCACGATTCTTAAACTTTCATCGTCTTCAGAGTGAAAAGGGGAAAAATGTCATCTTGGAGGTTTTGGGGGACCACAGTAATCCTGTATGAGTGAGTCAGCACAGTCTCTCCTTACACATCGTACAGAGCCTCAACAGTGGTAAAGCTCAGCACTGCAGGTGGGCCTTTCCTCTTCTGAATCAGAACGTGCACAGGAGGGTCACCACAGGTACAGTGCTCACAACGTATGTCAAAACGGAGAGGAAATCTTGCAAATACCTACGTATTTATGTTAGCTTGTCTAGGTGCTCAGTGAAGAATATTTTCATCTCTTTTGCGTGAATATTCTATTGACGGGAACCATTTTCCCATCGCCATGTGATTACTTCCATGGATTATATCCAAACATCAGATTCCTGAGCTTACCAAGCTCACTCCTGGCACAAGGTTCAACACAGCAGAGTAACGTCAGCCCAAAATAGAAAATAAAAAAAAGTATTTAAAACAATTACAAATGACAGGATTTAATCAAAACATCTTTGAGTTCTGGGGAAATTAGGCCTATTCAGGCTCTACCGACTCTTTAATATTGAGAAGAACATCCAATACAATTATTGTCTTGATTCTACCCGTTTTAAGGCTGCCTGGTCAAGCAGCTTACAGGACAGTACCATGTTGCCGTTCAGTCTGAAGAGAAGAGTCTTGGAAGGCAGAGAAAGTGCAAATGGGCTGTCTGCTGCTCAACAACTTCAGGGGAGCCTTGGCTGCCAAAATCAGAATTCAGAAATCAGTCACTTAAGACAAAAGTAATGAGGAAAAAAGGATTTCAAAGAGGTAAGACACTTAAGTCTATTGCACTCACAAGTTAGGCCTCCAATAAGTAGAAACTCAAAGAACACTAAACCGTTTGAGTCTTCCATTAAGCACTGATCAGTTGAGTAATTTGTAGCGTCCCCCCAAAATGACTGAAATTCCACAGAATTTTTATTAATCATAAGGCAGTTTGGTGTTCTGCAGAGAGCCCAGTTACACCCCTCTACCTTCATCTTTAATACAGAGCAGCTAAAAACCACAAGAAAGAGAGAACACAAAAACAAGTAAATGAACTCTAACAGCCCTCCAAGTAGACAATTCTAGTGAAGTGTAAAATGTGTACCGTAGTATTTAATATTACGTAGTAAAATCGCTCCATAGGATTTTTATTTACCATGTGATTTCAGTAATATAAATGTATAGATTCATACCCATTTTCCATTTGTTCTGCCTTTAATGGCGTCTCTACCAACTGTGCCACGCCAACTGGCAGCAGCAGCCAACTGTCATGTGACTACTGAAGATCACCAGTTTCTAAGTTTCTCCACTAAATTTCTATAAACATGATCAATAACCCCATAAACAGTACCTTCAACAGGTTTAAACTGTGTTTAGTCCTTGTAGAAAACATTTGTCTTTACTCAGCATCTTCCATTTCTTTATAATGTAACAAGGAACATATACAGGGTTCCAGCATTTCAGTCTCCATGTCCAAGGAACTTCTTAAAATCACAGGCCCCACTCTTTTAGCTTGAGGCATTCCCCTCCCAAGTCCATCCAAACACACAAAGGATTCATTCATTTTCCCTTTTTGTTTTACATGACAAAAAATTCATTTGGAACTGCATTTCCAGTCTTGAATGGATTTGCTGAGAAACTCATGCAGGGGTGTGCACAGTCACAGTAATGGTGATAAGACTTCTTTTCATTTGAGAGTAACATAATGATGACACTAAAACTTGATATGAAACATATCAGTAAAAAGGGAAGGAGAGGACTCAGGATGGAGCAGGGCTGGGGTTGGGATAGGACTCCGCACATGTGCAGAGGAGTGGAGGCTGCAAGCTCAGAGTTTTTCTGAGGACGGGATCCAGATGTAAGGGCCTGACTGCTCCTCAATGATCAGTTTGATTTTATTGTAGATCTCTTCTAGTGAGTCACCCTGGACTATGGCTGTGAAGAGAGGAAATACAAGCAGGTTATGTATTTTTGTAAAATATCTGAAACGAGTTATAGCTTGTGGGTGTGTAGGCCAAGAGTTTCCACAAGGCTTACATTTCCAGGTTTCAGCATACAGCACATTGTATCTACACTCATTATCCATATTACCAGCTACACTTACCATACAGGTGCACTCTGTAGTTCTACAATTACAGACTGTAGTCCATCTGTTTCTCTGCATACTTTATTAGCCCCCTTTTACCCTGTTCTTCAATTGCTGGGATCCCCACAGAGCAGGTATTATTTGGGTGGTGGATCATTCTCAGCACTACAATGACACTGACGTGGTGGTGGCGTGTTAGTGTGTTGCGCTGGTAGGAGTGGATCAGACACAGCAGTGCTGCTGGAGTTTTTAAACACTGTGTCCACTCACTGTCCACTCTATTAGACACTATTACCCTGTTGGTCCACCTTGTAGATGTAAAATCGGAGACGACAGCTCATCTGTTGCTGCACAGTGTTGGTCCTTCATCAGTGGTCAAGGGACGCTGTTGGCTGGATATTTTTGGTTGGTGAACTATTCTTAGTCCAGCAGTGACACTGAGGTGTTTAAAAACTCCAGCAGCACTGCTGTGTCTGATCCACTCATACCAGCACCAGGGTAAAAGGGGGCTAACAAAGTATGCAGAAAACCAGGTGGACTTCTGTAATTATTAAAAAAAATGGAGAACTGTAGATACAAGAAGGTGTTCCTAATATAGTGCTCAGTGCACACACACACACACACACACTCACACACACACACACACACACACTCACACACACACTCACACACACACTCACACACACACTCACACACACACACACACACACACACGCTACATGAACAAAAGTACTGAGTATTGGGACACCTACACATTACACCAACAGGACCTAATCCATAAGAATTAATATGCAGTTGGTCTCCCTTTGCAGCTGTAACAGCTTCTACTGTTCTGGGATGCTTTCTACAAGATTCTGGAGTGTGTGTGTGTGGGTATTTTTGCCCATTCATCCAGAAGGAGTATTTGTGAGGTCAGACACCGATGTTGGACGAGAGGGCCTGGCTCGCAATCTCTGTTCTAGTTCATCCCAAAGGTATTTGATGGGGTTGAGGTCAGGGCTCTGTGTGGGCCAATCACGTTCTTCCACACCAAACCCTTATGGACCTTGCTTTGTGCACTGGGGAACAGCCATGCTCGAACAGAAATAGGCCTTCCCCAAACTGTTCCCACAAAGTTGGAAGCACACAATTGTCCAAAATGTCTCGGTATGCTGAAGAACTAAGATTTCCCTTCACTGAAACTGAATGGCGTAAGCCATCCCCTGACAAACAACCCCATAGCATTATCTGTCCTCCACCTAACTTTACAGTTGGCACAATGCAGTCAGACAGGTAACGTTCTCCAGACTGCCAGATAGAACGACCCATCCTTCCACAAATGTTTGTAAAGACAGACTACATGGCTAGGTGCTTAATTTTATATACCTGTGGCAATGGGACTGAATGAAACACCTTAATTCAATGATTAAGAGGTGTGTTCCAATACTTTTGTCCATACAGTGTGTGTGTGTGTGTGTGTGGTGTAAATATAAACGTAAATAAATATATATAAAAATGAAAGTTACCTGTGAAATACTCCCCAAATTCCTGTTCAAGTTTCATTGCCTTATCAAAGACTTTATTGGCTTGCTCATATGTCTGCCTCTTATTCATTTCCCTGTAAAACAAAAGAAACAGAGGGACATAAATTAGATTTAAGAAATTTTTGGGGCGATGGGGACTAGAAAGTTTTACGCTTCTTTAGAGACAGGATGAGAGACATGCGCTGTTCATCAGCTGTGGAAGTAAAGTTATGTGATGTCATCGATATTATATCCATTACTATCAAAAATGTCTAGCAACTGGAAATGAAACATCCTTGAATGCTGCAGAACAAAATGACCTGGCCATCATTCCATCTCCCCAACATAGAGGATGCAGGCTTGAGTAAGGAATACAATTTTTGTTCTTAGGATGTGACAGATGAGTATTTATTATGGTAATATTTTTTATTTTATAAACTGGTAGAGCCAAGGTATACAATATTTCCAAGTGCGCTCCAGGGATGGGTGAAACTTTAAGAAAGAATAGTGTTAAATGGCTGTTAGTCAAATGTGCACATAGCGACGGCGTATACATATATTTTCCAAAAGCTGTTCCTTAATTGCTGTTGTGATTAAGGTGGAGAGCACCGTCTAACACATCGGTGCAAGATCTCCCACTGATGTTTAACTGGGTTGAGATCTGGCGACTGCGAAGGCCATAGCATATGATTTACATAATTTTCACTCTCATCAAACCATTTGGTGACCTTTCTGGCATCCTCACCACCATATTCAGTACAAAAAGTTTGCGAAGGAACATCTAAATAAGCCTGATGCATTTTGGATAGTGTTGGGCAGATCCACATTTTTTCAGTTCTGATCTGATTCCAATACACAACTACAGATTCCGATACAGATTCCAATACAAGAGCTCTTTTTACTTTAATGTTATTATTATTGTTGGTATTATTTTTACATTTGTATTTAAGGTGTTTAATATTTTCAGCGTATGGAGGCTGCAATTAAACTGCTGATGTGTGACTCCCTGCACTTTTTCAACTGACGCACCGCACTCTCTAGTGCATGTTTCAGAGTTTACCCGGTGTACAGTGGTGAGGTCCAAGTATCAGCTGTGAAGCTCATGGCTTTAACATCTAGCTAACTGTGCTGCTAACTGGGATGACACTTGATTGTACAGTTCATGTATAGCAGTCTCTGAAATGTATTTCCTGGATGGGAGGTTCTGGGCTCTTAAGTGCTCCAACAAGCTGCGAAATCCGACACTGTCCTCTGCAGATAGTGGTTGGCCATAGAGTATAATGAAGTTGAGCTACTTCTCTGTAATTCCATTAGCCTTTGGATTGTGTGCTACAAAGCATCAGCGAGAGTCGCTGCCTGGTAGCGTCTTCCTGTCTGTTAGCTAGCATGAATTCCTGGTACTCTTTCACGTGAAACCTCTGCAGGTGCTTGATTAAACTGGTTGTATTGTACGACACAGCCGTTCTTCCACCCGTCGGCACGCTGGTTAACACACACTGCAAGTAGCGGTCTTGTTTTTTGCCGTTTCCAGACTAAAATATCTCCAAACAAATGACATTTTAGTCAAACAAACAGCTAATGTTATTTGCTCACTCAGTTACAGACTGAAGTTGCTGTGGGTTCATGGCAAGACGTGGAATTGAATCTGGATTGGTGACGTGTCTCATGTTACATTATGTTATTTTGCAGCGGGTTCATGGTCCAGTGCAAGCTGCAGACTGGAACCCGGATCGAGAGTGGATCAGCCCTATCTGTCCGATATTCAATGAGTGAATTACATCAATATCGGACCCAATACTGATATATTTCTAATGCTCTAATTGTGGAAACACGTCCTGTGCAGTGATTAAGTTAAAACAAAAGTTTTTGGCCATGATGCACTCTGTAATACTACAATTACAGACTGTAGTCCATCTGTTTCTCTGCATACTTCATTAGCCCCCTTTTACCCTGTTCTTCAATTAAGCCATATGTTTGGAGAGAAAAGGGTGTAGAATTTTATGAAAAGAACACCTCTCCAAATGTTAAGCACAGGGTGGATTGATCATGCTCTGGGCTCAAGTTGAAGCCAGTGACACGACGAACATTTCTCAGGTAGAAGGATGAATTAATTAAATTAAATACAAGCAAATTCTGGAAGCAAACATCACATCGTCTGTAAAAAAGCTGAAAAGGAAAAGAGCATAACTTCAGCAAAAGGATAATGATCCTAAATACGCCTCAAAATCCAGACTACCTCAGGAGGCACAAGCTGAAGGTTTTGCCATGGCCTGCACAGTCTCCTGACCTAAACATCATCAAAAATATGTGGATGGACCTCAAAAGAGCAGTGCATGCAAGACGGTCCAAGACTCACACAGACCAAGAAGCCTTTTGCAAGAATGTGTGAAAAACCCCTGAATAAGAACTGAAAGACTCTTAGCTGGTTACAAAAAGCTGTGATTAAATAATGACCATGCAGAATGCCTAAACGTTTGTTTTCTTTTTCTATTTCAGAACTAGAAAAGATGGCAATAAAAAAGCAATCTTGCTTAAAATACTAAAGAAATGTGTCATCTTTACGCCTTTTGGAAATCAGGTAATTTTTTCTCACTTAGCTGTTCAGAGTAACAGAAATTTTGACTGTGGTGCCCAAACTTTTGCATGCCACTGTACTTGTACATATATGCACAAACACACATGAATTTTCTGCCAGTTCAAAACTACTTACATTAGGGCTTCAATGGATTTTGGCTTGATGAAAATGGAAATCGGATAGAGTTGTGCTTGTTGAAGTCGCTTTATGGCGTTCCCAGACACATCCAGGATGCAGTGCTTCCCCTATAATACAAAGACAGAAATGCACAATTTTTTCCACTCTCACTACATACAACACATCTCTTTGCCTGTTGCTGTTAAAGTCATGTATTTAAAAGAAGTTGTTAAAAATCCCTCAAATTTTTGCATCAACATGTACAAGCTCTTACGAACCCTCTCAGCCACTGCCCGAACAGACAGAATGCTGGTCCCGTACAGATTCTCATTGAACTGCCCCGCTTCAATAAACTTGTTGTCCTGAATATCTTTTTCCATCTGCTCTCTTGAGGTCACAAAGTGGTAATCTTGTCCATCCATTTCATTTTCTCGCCGTGGACGAGTTGTATCTGGGAGAGGCAAAGGTTTTACCTCATAAGTTCATTTCTAACTGAGCCCAAAAAAAATAAAAGGGCAAAAGCTGGACACGTTCAGTATACTTACGTGGGACACAAGATCCAAACTTGTGAGGAAACTCTGAAATCAAGTCATCATTTACCCTATCCTTCATTGGACCCAAGATGATAACAGGCCTTGTGTAGTGGACTGTCAGAAAAGGAGCAATAAAAAAATTATCAAAATGAATTAAACAGCTGTTTTCTATTGTGAAAAAAGATAGGACACAGATCTTGCATTTATAATTGAACACTTACTCTCTTGTCGAGTCACTGGCTCATAGGATAGAATTGTATCCTCTTGCCCTTCTGTAAGATAAAAAAGAGCAGTCAAAATACACAAAGTACTAAAATATGTTTCTCTTCACTTTTTAAATAAACAACACTTTCGCTCTCCATCATGCATGCTGAACAGCCAGTGGGTCCCCATTTCCGTCAGACAGCTAGCACTAAAGCTAAAGGTTAGCTTTCTGAAAGGTTTATTCCATCTGTACATGAGCATGCGTGTTTATTTCAAGACAGCCTACTATAAATAATTCTTTCAATCTACAAATGTGTTTTTTTTTCTTTTCCTGAAAACAGTTTGGAAACTGTTTTTTGTAAATAGCAAGTCTTTACTTTTCACAATTCAGGCTGTTTCATAGAGGAGGTTTTGTAATATTTTATGTACATTTTGATGGGTTTTAGGGCAGTGTTCTGATTCCTACTTCCAGTGTTCTTTCTTTCTTGAAAGCTAAATTTTATCTGCAGTGCTATGTGCCAAAATAGGGTTAGGAGAAACACACCTACATCACAGGGTTTGCTGGGCCTGAGAGTTTGAAAAATTGCCTTCAAGGAACTTAAAATACTTACAATTGTAAAGAATTAAGGCAATCATTCAAAGTTAGAAAGATTTAACCCCCAAGGTGTCTGAAGTGTGCTTTTTTGTGCTGGACCTATAAGTCCACTGTAGCTAAAAGCAATAGAAATTTATACATAGTCGGTACTGTGCAGACTGCATGCCTACATCCTCACACTCCTGCCTCAAACCATGTTGAGTTGATCTCAAATAGATTTATCTCAATTAGACCTGCCTATGTGGTTTCTGGTACTACATATAGCTATGATAAAGATTCAATAAGTCTTGGTTGAACAGTTGCATTTGGGCTACAGGAAGATTGTGTAAATGTGATTTTTTGCTGAACTGCTTGTTTGAGCCAAAACAAAACGACTTGATTCAAATGCCTTTAAAAACATTCATGCAACATATCACAGCATTTGAAATGGTAGGTTTAAGTTAAACAATGTGGTACTGAACACTGAATGTTAGCTTTCTGCATTACACTAATGTGAAAGATTTACATGCAATCAATATGAACAATTTTAATCCGGTTATTTAAGGAGAAAACACAACCACTGCTTTAAATCACTTACTTGAGCTGCTCTCACTGTCACTGGTATTTGATGTCAAGCACTCTGCAGAAATTAAAGAAAGGTTAAAAAATATCATGATGCTAACATTTGTAAAAGTCAAAATAACAAAACAAAAAAAACAAAAACAAAATCTGTCTCACCATTATGCTAAGAACAGGAAATAAAACACATGGAGAAAGGGAAAGAAGTCTTACGCACACACAGTCACTACTTCCTTTATAGGGAAGTGATAGGAGGTGGCAGTAATAGGAAATTAAGTATTTCCTCCTACAAAGTCCCGGGTGACCTCCACTCCCTGGTCAGGGCTTCCTATGGCCTTGTTGTGTTGGCTAAACCAGATACTGATACTGCCATACAGGCCAAAGTAAACACTCTGGTATTTAGTTCCTAACAGGAATCAAATGGCACACGCACTGCATCCCTATTGGTGGGAATAGATGGTTTAACAATGACAATTCAGAGGTATGTGATGCTAATCAAGGGCAATTTTGTTTTGCTTAATGTAGTAAATGTAAATGTTTCACTCTAAGAAATGGCCTCAAAGTACTTCACAGATCTAATCTTTATCTTTAGCAATTAACACTTGGCATCTGGACAATTAACACTTGACATGTGGAGTGTAGAAAATTGTTCTTGCTAGCCTAGCCAAGAATACTATATGTAACAGACATATGTAACAATGTAACAGACTTGGGTGGAAGTCTAGGGGTGGCTAGGTGACTTTCAGAATAAACTACATGGCAGGTTTTCAACAAAAACAAAGATGTTTTGCTGCATAAAACCATTCAAAGCATATCTTGGCTGAATGCCTTTTGCTGCACCAGTCATGAATTAAATGATGCTTTAAGAGGATCAATACAGTTGAATCAGCTGTAATTCTAATCTATGCATCGATACAATGAATGAAACAATAGGTCCCCACTGGAAACAATGACTGCAGGCTGTGCTGGGAGTTTGTAAACACCAACAGCAGCCAAGTCTGTCTGATAATCATTGAGGATGGAGGTATAGAAGAGAGCAAAAAAGGGAGAAAGACATTTGTGTGTGTGGCACAGCTATTGCCAGTCAGTTAGCTAATTCTGAGCTCAAGGGGCAGCTGCTTGACAAGTATAACCACACACTTACTCAAACTCTTTGATCCATAAAAGTCATCGCTTAACCCTGGGAAGTCCTGAGTGTCCCGACAGGTGAGAGCAGAAACAAAGAAGAGAAGAAGAGAGCAGACAGGAAGAAGAAAAGATGTTAGTGAGAAGTTGAGAGAAGAGGTGCAGTGCTCTCTGGGTATCGAGGGAGACTAACACAAACCAGCTGTGCTTTGTTCTTTCTACACATTGTAATGCAAAAGTTAAATTAACAGGGCTAACAAAAATGGAGTCAAAAGAATAACCGTGCAAGCCATGGCTTTAGGCACTAAAGTGAAACGCTTAATAGCACAGTTTTTACCGGCAAATACCTAGGACTAAGTTAAGCACAGCATTTGAGTATTAGTGTGTCTCTACGCCAGTGAGCAGCAGACACCTGAGGTCCCCCTAAGAACACAGAGAGGCCAGAGAGTACTCTGACTGTCTATGTTGTCTCTACGGGGGGGCTTAAAGGGATGACGAGAGGCATCAAGAGCCAACCACACACCGTCCCTGGAGTGAGTGACAGTGAGAGGAGGATGAAGCATGAAGGACAGCGTTAAAGCCCTTACCCCCCACTCACATGCTTATACTCACGTTCAGATTCCACCAACTCCTGCACAATATTCTCCTTGCTCTTGTAAAAGGGGAACTTGCGTGAAAGGTTGAAGCTTTTTTTGCGCTTTACTTTGACTGGCTGCTGGGAGATGACCAGATGAAGGGAGTGGAAATGAAAGATGAAACAAACAGAACAGAACAGAATGGATTTCAATGTGGCGGACAGCACAATCACACAAAATACAACCATGCAAAATACAACATTTGACGGAAATAACATATAACAGGGACAATGAATACCAACAAGTGAAAAATATTCAAATAGTGTAATTGTAAAGAGTGAAAAAGAAACATGATTTACTCTGATAATAAATAGGGGTATAACAATACATTATGACATTGTCATATCGCAAAGTAAAACTGAGACTATGTGCATTGCGGAGACTGGACATTCTGTTAATTATGCAATCTAATGCAACCACATTCTTTGAACCCCTAAGTTTGAAGATGATCAACACCAATCAACACCTCACTCCAGCACTCCTACTGCCTGCCAGCTCTAGTGTTGTTAGCAAGTTGTGTAGCTACATGATTATACTCACCATTTTTGTTCATTTGAATTTTGTTCAAAATATTACGAGAATACGGAATCTTGAACCCAGTATTGTGAATCGACTTGATATGAGGACTGAGTATTGTTTCACCCCTAATTATAAATGTCTGTTACATCACTGTTACTTGAACTGTGAATGCAACAAAAAAGAGGGGAGTGGTAGTAGTAATCCTTATATACTGGATGTACTGTGCAATTCCCAAAGAGGCAAAGCACGTAAGGACAACACAAATCCTGTAAGGCACAACAAGAAATGTTCAGACCTCTCACCATCACTGAGGTATGATGATGGCACTACACTACATGACTAAGTCTATGAATGACTACCTTTGTGTGTCTGTAGATCTGAGATCTCCACACACCCAGCGAGAAATGAGAGGTCTCTGTAATAGGAGCCTCCTATTCTCTCACAAGAGGGAGAAGGCTCCTATCCCCACACTCAGGGGGGAAGTGGGTCAACTACCACATGGCCCCTGCTGGATGGCAGGAGGGAAAGGGGTTGGGGAGGGAGATGCTATTCAACCACACTCACCCTGTTGGACTCAATCATGCCTGTCCTAGCATGGAACTTGACTGTTTTTAACCGGGCTCGCTCTTTCTTTTCCACCCTATAGAGCAGCAAGTAAGTAAATAAACAAACAAATAATCTAGTGATCTTTTCAACAAAAATTCATGCTGTTTCTCAGTTACTTTTATTAGCAGTCAGACAATGACAGTTTACGTGCCTACAATACCTGCATTACACATTTGAACATTTCAGAAAATTTTATTTTAGAAAAATAGTATGAAACTTGTTGCTCTATTAAAAGGTATTTGATTTTTATATCAAAATTTCTTTTCAGATAATAAACATAAATGGCAACAAGCTAATAAGCAGCAACTGCTGCTATTTTTTCCACTTGTTTCTGGAGCATTTTGGGAAAGGCTTGGTTTTGTGTTTACTGTGTGTACACGTATGTTGTGTACACAGGGGTACATATTCCATGGAGTCAGTGGCTGTGAAAGATGAATCATAAATAAGAAATTCAGCTGTGAACTTGGAAGTAAGAGGTCAGGTGTTTGTTAGTGCCCCTTTAATGGAATCTTTGCTTCTTAGTTTTGTGTTGAGCTGTGTCCCATCATGAGTGATCGATAGTCCAATACCTTTTCTTGCTGGGAATGACTCCAATTTGCTCACTCTCTCCGTGGGGCGTGACCAGCCGTGCCTGCCACCACTCGTCATCCGAGGCATTGATGACATGCAGGATGTCACCATAAGAGAAGCTCAGGCCCTGGCTGGGCAGGCAGCTGTCTCTGGTACGGTCATAGTCAAATAGAGCTCTGTACATATAAAAACAAATAAACAACAGGCACAGTATTTTAGCATTCAAGTACAACGCTAAAGCTATTTCTATTTCCTATAAATCAACTGATCAGGAGGGAGGAATGAAGAAATACACCACATTGCACATCAGTTTCCTTGTGATCGGCGAATTTTTTCAGGTGGTAGGTGATATTTAGACCAAAAGACACAGTCATGCATTGTATCCAGTGCAAAACCTCTGTCACCCTGTCAGACAGGTAGAAGGTAAAAGAAAGGAGGACCTGCTCCACTGGTTTTCCTCTTCTTCTACAACCTACTCTCTCAGGACATGCTGTGTAATATGAATTGCTGACTAAATGGACAGTAATGTCATACGGCAGGGGTACTTAACCTTCTTTCATGGCAGAACCCACATGTAGAGGTAGAGTTTACCCAGTTACCCACCAAATATTCTTTAAAGTGAAACAAGACGCACACACCAAAGAAGCGCTAAGAATGAAGCATGCATAGGTCTACAATGGTAGGATTGTAGGTTCTAAAAATAGTAAAACAATAAGATTTTTGTTCTGTATTTAGAGGTAATCCATTCAAGTCTAACCACATACACAAATTTAATTAATATTTAGTTGGACATTGTCTCATTTAAATTTGCTTTCATCCAGCTAGTTTAAAAAGACAGCCAGTGTTGTACTTTGATCACCACTGATTCAATAGGCTAAAGCAAGCTTGTTTTAGATGTGGCATGGCAGCGTAAAGGGTTGTATTTAGTGTATTTTGTGAATTTTTCTAATGGCAGGTAGTTGCTGTTAAGAACAGACTCAAAGCTGTGAGTGTGGCAACCGCACATCCCTACAGTTGTTGTTCAAATGACATTCGATAACTGCACAGCCAGTAAAAAGCCACGCTGATAACACAGGAGCGTTTTGCAAGCATCAGCAGTGCTGTGCAAAGCAGAAGCAACATGGTTACCACTTCAGGTCTAAGATGTACTTTATTTAGCTCTGCTTATAAAGAAGAAAAAAATGTATATATCTGCATTGATGCAGCTTCCTTGCTTCACTGCGACCCACGAATAGGTTGCGACTCACAGTTTGAAAACTACCATCACATAAAGCACTGTTCATTCTGACTTGTCAGTCCAGTTGAACAGTTAATGGGTAAACTACTGCACACATAGCTCTTCAAAAAAAGACACCACACACACACACATACACACACACACACACACACAACAAATATCTGGGGTCTGTCTCACAAAACAGGACCAGTTTAGGCTTACTTTAATCTAACCCTGGTTGAATCACTTTTCACTGAGCTACATCATCATGGCAACTTATGCTTCATGCTTAAGCTGCAGGTTAAGTTCAGGATTTTGGAACAATTATGGCCATCCTTTAGATGGAGGTGGACCCCTACAGCCCCTTTCAGTTCACTTTTTTCCCTCTATGATATCTGAGGCATTGATCAATCGAAAAACATTGCTTTTCACTGGAGGAAACAAATATAAATATGAAGCAATTATTACTACAATAAGCACTAACACAGTGGCAGCAGCAACATAAATGCTTTACATATTTATAAGCAAGTGCTTCAAATTCATTTTTTTTTCCTTTTCAACCTGAATTGCTTTGTTAGTGACTGCTGCTTGTTATTCTATCAATTATTCATCAATTTATTATTATATCAACTGTTCCAAACAGTGTCCAATGGAACCAGAAACAAGAGATACATGCTAAACAAGCCTTCCTTTCCACTGTATAAACTGTAATGTCCTGTAACTTGCACATGGATCAGGCAAAAATCTCTTTTGCAACACAAATTTTAAGATAAAAAGACAGTAATAAGTGTTTACATTTTATTCAGATTTAACTGTCAGTTAATTCGTACTAAACATGCAATTACTTCGAATGGTTAATTGTGTAACCATGTCAATTCCTAATGCTCAGGAATGTGAAAAAACTGCTTTTGAGGACTGAAACTCACATGTAGCACTTCCACCATGTCAATCATAAGACAGCATTTCAACCATAGCTCTCAGCTTACTCACAAACACGCAAGAACAAATGCCATTTTAGGCACAGCCCAAGAAGCACATCATGCATTGGGAGTTGAAGTGCTGCATTAGTGCTTTGTTTTAGGCAGTTCAAACTACAACATGAATTTCTGTGATACTCCACTATCAGTAGCTTAATGTTCATGACTAAGCTAAACCTCCTATCTTTCCTTATTCTCATGACTAAAACACCAACAGGTCAGAAGGGGCCTTCAGAAAGCTCAAAAAGAGCATATTTACTCTTGTGGTATAAAGCAAGGCCTGACCGACACACTGGCTGGAGAATAGTTTCAGCTGATACTGAGGTCCCACAGATTTATCAGTATCGGTGTGTAATATTTTGCAGCTTGTGTTTTACATTGTAATAACGAAGCACCTTTGAAAACAAGAAAACTTTCAGGGTTTCATGGTCATATGCCAGTCTTTATGAAAACAGCTAAACTATTAGTCATCACTTGCTCTCATGTTAAACAATAGTAATGAATTTGAACATAAAACACAATCATGGTTTAACGTTTCCGCATGAGGACGTTAGAACACCAAAAACCTTTTACAAAAACAAAATAAAAATAATTAAAGAAAGAGACAATTAACAGAAACCAAAACTGCTAAAAACTCTGAGTAACTCCACCTCTCATAATTGGGAGATAACAATCGTATCAGACAATTCACAGTCAGCAGCTGGCAGTTATATCAGTCAGTGAAGCACAGCTTAACTAAAACTATTATAATTTTTGACCATATTAAATTAAATTGCATACAAAATGATTATTTATATAATATTTATCTTCCATATAATCACAACTCTTCTGAATTTTATGCACCTTAAAATCTGTTCTGATCAGAAAATTTTGCACATAGTGGTGCTGACAATCTTGGGTGTCTGACAGGTCTACATTGATTCTATACAACAGGGCAAATTTAGACAGAATGTTAACTGTAAGGCTACATCTCAATATTAAACAAACTGATCAGTACAAGTTCATTTACAATCTGTTCTTGTGTTTATATGTAAAGTATTCTGGCTGAAATGAGTGTGAGGGGATTTTTTTAACATGGCTTAATCACAGCTAATTGAGCAGAGGTACAAATCGGAAGCTATAAACATCTTTGTCGATTAAGCTATTTGTTTCGCTCGAATCAACACTTCACAGCTGCTTGAACCCTGTAGGGGAGAAGTAGCTGCCGAGACTCGTGTTTTCTCCATGAGGCTTAAGTTGGCTTCCTATTCGCCAACTTCTTATTCCATTCCACCTTAAATGGAGCAGCAGCTACATGTTACTGCTGCTCCATTTAAGGTGGAAGGGAAAATTAGAATTAGAAGCTGGCTAACTGACACATCTGGGTGATGTCTTTACAAATGAGTTAACATATCTGAGGTACTGGCACAGGTATTTGAAACTTGCATTAATGAGTAATGTTGGCACAGTGTCACTGTTTAATCTATCACTCTTTGCTAATCATTACTGTACTCAACTGAGTAACAAAAGTGTTCCCAAACAGGAGATGAAATCAGGATGATTTTGACTTGTTCTAGCTCAAGCTTGCTCTCTCCACTTGCCATTTCAATCAACTTGGCTAATCAACCATCCAAAGTAGGCTAATCACATCAGTTTTTTCCAAATCCAAGAGCTGTGTAGAGGTGTTAATTTTTTTTTTTTTACATTCATGATTATCACTTAAGAAGGTCATGGATTGTGTTAAATAGAACTACAGAAACTATTCACGCTCTCAAGCATTTTATAGTATGAAATGTAACTGTATTCTATTCACGGCATTAACTGTCTCATGTGTCTTGAAGGGGAAGCACATACTAGCCTTCACCTTCCCAGCTTAGGAGCGTCATGCAATAGGTGGAGACCTAGCTAACAGGTTGGAAAATATGGCATTTTTAAACCCTTTTTAAAGTGCTTCTTCGTTTTGTTTTTTTTGTACATGTTCTCCCAGCAAACTCTGCTAATGGACAACAATCCACTTGCTAAAGCTGGCTGCACAAATAAGTGGGCGAATGTTGAACTCCAGAGTCAGTGTTTGCTGTCATTAATGTAATCAAGTTGGCTACCGTAGGATAAAAAGCTGCTAAATTGAAAAGGCAGTGTGATTGAAATGAATAAACACATTACTGAACACTGGCACGAAATGTTTCGACAAGTTTTGAGTAGGCTTCTTCTGTATGATTCAGTCTGTGCCTTGCGCAGACATACTCAAACTCACCATCAACCCAATTCTGTTTGAATCATGCCCTGTCTGCTCCTGTCTGATTTCTAACCAAAACAATAGACCAGTGGATTAAAGGGAAGAAATAATGGATTTGTTTGAGTAAAAGTCAATCTGTGTAGATGCAAAACAATTTAAAACCTACATTCTTACACTTTTCTATTTTTTTTACTACTGAACAGAAAGGAAGAAATGAAATCCAAAAGATTTACAGACAAAATGCAGACGCTGCACTGCCAGCTAATGAAGCATAGGTCGCTTCTTGCAAGCATTAAAGAGCAACACAGCCACTTTAAAGATTATTTTGATACACTTGATTAATTTCCATTGGTCCATGTTCATTTCTCAGTAATAAAGCATGCTTTAATCCGTTAACTCTGACTCAAGGCGACCCATGCTGAAAGAGCAAATTATAGTCTAGTCTTTTACATGGCCTTGAGAAAAGACTCATGTGAAACAGAAAGACAGCAAATGCCTTGAGCACTAACATCTGATGTGTGAGATGTATACCTGACACAAACACTGTATCAGTTAGGTCAAAGTACAAAGGTTAAATAAATGAAAGACTCAATCTCATAAAAGACTCTTCAGTGATTCAACTGCAGGAAATAGTTCAAGATAAACATGTGCTGATTTTCTTCAAGCATTCACCTTTAACTATATGCAGAAGAGTTAGTTTGATGTGCACGTAGGTTACCTGACATAGAGGGAGCGCTTTTCACTGGTGCGCAGGGAGCCTGATCCAGAGCTCATGCTGCTGTTCATCATCTGCTCCCTCAAGTCGTGGATTTTAGACTCAAAACGGCTGTACTCTGCAAACACAAAATGTAAAGTCGATAACAAAACTGCATTTTCCCAAAGCTCATCATATCACAGACTTAATAAACAAGAGTACAGAATGGAAATAATGTCCAGTGTCTGAAGTCTATGTTGCACAGGGCTTAACGTGAAACACAGCAGCTTTCTGCAGACTGATTAATGACTTCAGGAACAGATGGATATTAATCATGTATCTACATGAGATATGCTCTAATATCTCCTGCCAGGTAATTAATTATGTATATTAATTAAGTAGAACATGCACAATTCAGTTTAATGGGATGAAGACCTCCAAAAAATGTCTGAATGTAATCATTTCTCATTGAGAGAACAAGACAAATTCATTTCTAGAGCAGTACTGAAGCATGACGCATGACTGTACAAGAGGCTCTTGATTAAACATGTAGGCTACACCTCTGCGGCAGTGTGGTCTGGCTGCAGTCACTAGCTTAGCAACCAATCAACACACATGCACAGAAAGGGAGAGAACGAGAGAGCCAGGGAGAAAAACAACAGCACTCAAGTACATGAACCCAAGAGAGAAGAGAAGAACAGAAAGAGAGAAGTCCTATGTGGATAAGAACAAGCGAGGAGACTTATTGTGGGCGTCCTTTTAGTTGATTTTTCTGTACCAAACGAAGAACACATTGTTTCAATAATCTCTCCTCGAGCATTTCACATAAAACAGCACTTAATACAAACCTAAGTAAAACAAAAACACACATGCAAACACTGAAAATGGACTTCAAAGCAAACACACAGGCCAGCTCTACAGTACATGCCCTGCCCAGCACATAGGAGTTAACAACACTCTAGAATGACACGGCAAGGTAAAGTAACCCGACACCACTTAAACGTAACTAGGGAGACACCCTCAAACCATTAGAAAAATGTAGGAAGGAAACAGTCTGACTACATTACACTCAGGTAAACCGAGCAGACAATGAGGTGGCTGTAACGATACACATATCACATCACAGGGAGCAGCTCTGGACTACACCACTGGTCAGATACAACTGTTCTGATCCGCAGGGACTCATTAACAGCAACAGCAGCTCAGCTGTGGATTCTCAATATGACAAATGCGCAAACCATCACATGACAAGTGAAGGCGCAACAAGCAAAACACTGCAGCAAAATGCAAGGTTTGTATTTTAAAATCACCCTTTCAAACAAGAAAAACTTGTTCACATGCTGCTTGTCTTCATTATGATGAGGACTGAGCATTGGCTGTCTCTTTATCTACATGGTTGTATCAAAGATGTGAATGAAATGAGACAACATGCAATGTTCACATAGTTAGGTTAAGATAAGAACCCTTCTCTTGGTCACGCAAGCCAGTACCCCAAGTCATACGCAACTCCACACTTTGCTTATAACTTTCTCAGGACCGAAACAAATACCAACTATTAGTAAGCAGACTGTATAGGCTGCAAAAATAGTAACTAACATTAAGTAACAGTCATTTTTTTAACAAAAAAAAATATATATATTTACAATTTTTATATGAAACAAATTTTATATGAAACAAATACCTAGTACTAGTCAAGCAAGAACACCTAGATACAGGCTAAAACTGTATAAAGCCTACATTAACCATATACATAGAACTGCAAATGTAATCCCAGTAAAAATATTACAGTAAGCATCTGAGCAATCATGCAGTAAAAACTGTCCCTACTCTGTAAAAAGCAACAACGATGAGGGTATGGGAATGTTAACAAGTGTCTGTCATTTTGTTGTTCAACCAAAAGCTTAATTCACGCGATAACAAGCAGTAGTTGGGCGTGTTGATTGTATCAGATGTACTCTGATTGGCTCTTGAAAATGTGCTGTGTGATTCAATGGAAATGGCCTGTTTTGCCTAAGCAGAGTGGGGGAATCTTTGGAGGTACAAATGAAAATGACCGGAAATCGTGTATAACTTATTTATTAAAAGGTACAACTATAAGTTAGGCTTGTCTGTGTAGTTGGCCCACTGAAGCTGCGCTACAGGCACATGTATTCCAAACACGTTCAGACAACTAAAGAAGCAGGGTGGGTCTGCACACTGAAGACACCCACCACAACCCACACAAAACTCGCTCTCACCAAGCAAATCTGATGTTTCAGGCAGGGTTCAAGCTACACACACAAGTCACATTTTAAATTGTGGTTGCCTCAGATATGCACATACATAATAAAAAGCACTTTTATCAGCAAAGGAAGCCAGTTAAAATGCCAGTAACTGGAAAAATGCTGAATATCAGCTCCAATTATCGGTCGACCCCTAATGCTTACTGTGCACATATGACAGGAAAAGAGTGGCTAGCAGCGGCAGCCCATTCAATGAAATTGGCCCACCACCAACGAGCAAATGAATGAATGAAAGGAAGGATGGAAGAATTAAAGGATGTAACCAAGTCCTCAGTATTGGGCTTCAATTAGAAATGTCTGTAAGATGGCCAGGCCCTGGCCCCTCAGCGAACGACTAGGCACTGTGCCCAGACTGACATCTGAGGAATCAACTACTGAACCACCATCGCAACTCTGGTTACCCCAGCTGCTCTTTGAGCCAGCGGCTTTGGCCAGTCCAACAGGAAACTAGGCACGGGACACACTGACTAGTTAGGTCAAAAGGGTGACAAAAGGGTGACAGCAATGAAGTTTAAAGTTGAAAAAAAGAGCGAAAGATAATGATTTGCCAGCATCAGTGAGGCTGGTTATGAATCACCAATTACTAACTTACACTGCACTGCTGTACAGTGACTTTCAAGACTTGAATAGCTGTAAAGGGAACTGACAAACAGCTAAAAAAAATCCTGAGCTAATGTACAGAGTTCAGGTTGTCTTATGCTGGACACCACAATTTCTTGTTTAAAACAGATTGCCCATTAAACACATACACTGAGAAGACTAAATCATCATCCTGGATCTTGTTCTTGTTCTCATTAGTGCTAAAACTTATCCTATAGTCCCACATAATTCAATAAACTATTCTGGCCTAAATTAAGATGTCACTTCTATTTCTGTGCAGACATCCAAGCCCCTGGGAGGGAGGAGCAGACCATTTATATTCCGGGAGCGTTTGAAAGAGATCAGGAATATGAGGGAGAGCATGCTGCAACAGATAACTTACTGCCACATTCCACTCATAGTTTACACAGGAGAAATCAGACTACAGACTCAATCAGACATACTGCTTACCACTGTATTAGATTACAGATCCACTGTGAGCTGTTTAGTGGGTGTTTGATAATGAAAGTGCTGCTATTGATTTCTTGCCTTTTTATTCGTATCAAGTAAATGAGCTATAGTGAGCTGACAGGAGGTGCTCCAAGGAAATAACTCATTAATTGCAGCGAGAGGCCAAGCAGGAGCAACATATGTTAAAAAAAAGACAATTTCACTAATGTTTGTGTCGAATAAGACACCAAATTTGATTAATTGAGCTAGTATTTTAGTCCATTTCCTGATACTACCTGAGTTTCCACGCACCTGTTGTGTATCTGGCTGTGGCCTGCTGCTTTCAGCTTATGCTGAGCTAGTTTGACAGCTAACGCAAAATGTCCAGTCATAAACATAATGTAACAGCTTTAAAACTCTTTGTAATTATTTGTATTATGTTGATATGACTGGTGAGCCAAAACCCACACAAAAATTTCTCAAAAGGACCTTTTCCCAGCACCACCACTCTGAGCCCCTGCACTTCACCTTAAAAAAGCTTAAATTAGCGTTAATAACATCTGGCTAACAAAGTAAGCCAATTCACCGAGTCAAGTTTGGGAAAAGTAAGCTTTGGAAAGTAATTACCGTTTAGTTTACTGTCAAATGAAACTGCCACCGCTTCACAAGTACAAGCTAACCAAGCTAATTCAGTTCCATGAAACAATGCGCGGCTTCACAGAAAAAACACGAGCGCTCAGACCATTCAAAACTCACTCACTCTGATACTGGGGGATCATTTTACTCGGCCAACACCGCGCCGTGAGACACCAAGCGCCTTTATTTTCTCGAACTTAGGCGATAACTTGGCTCACACACAGTCGACTCTGTATGTTTATTGAGCTACTATTTGCCCTCTATGAAAGCAGTAAAGGTTTTCTTACCCGGCTGAACTCCCTTCTGTTCGCCGTGTTTGTCGTAGCCAACTTACTTCAGCCCAATCGGGAAAACACAAAACGGCTGAAAACCGCAGAGTGGACTAGCTACCAACTGTACATGTTGTACTCAAGAAGACAGCTAAGTAGGTTTGTTGTTCTTGACCGAAACAAAGATGAAAATGCAGATAAAGACGAGGCTAAAAGCCGTTTCGCTCTTCCCTGCTATGCTCCTCCCATTAACAGAGCACCTCGGCCGGACAGGCTCGCATTCGTTGCCTCGCTTTAAGGCGCGGGATTTTCCTTTCGGGCTGCTGCTAACTCCGGACGAATTTCAGGACGACTGCAGATAAAAGTCCATTCATCTCCCAAAAGTTGTGCACGGTAAGAGGACACATTCACAGATTCGTATCCACTTTTTTACACACTTCCAGTTCTTCTCTGTCCCTCCACTTTGACTCTGGCAGGATTTTCCGGTGCTCCCTCCCCTTTAGCGCCCCTTTGAATCCCACTTTGATTAAGAAGAGCCGCCAGCAGGCTGCCAGACCCCCAGCCAGCGAGCTGCACACAATCCTTCCACCCGCATGGGGGATCCCTCGAGAATGCAGTATAAGAAAGGCTCCTTAACCTGATCTAAAACCAGCCAATCAGCATTCACCAACAATGTCCTCGTTTGCAAACTAGGCTTCTGTTTTTTATGAACTAGGCGAGGCACTGTAGCCTACCTGCCTTAAAGGGACACACTACAGGAATCTACAGCAATGGCTTGACTACTGCAGCGTTAAAGGCGCATTTCACCATGTTTTCAAAATTTCTGCATAATTCAATTGTTAAGATGTAAATAAAGTCAAATTTATCGACTCGCAGTTCTTCCCAATGGTGGTGATAGGAACTAGGGGGTTGTGAAATCTGTAACTCAAATATAGTCATTTTATTTTGTACCCAAAAACTACATCTTCTAAGACTTTAGATATAATGTTGATAATGGTAATATAGTGTTCACTCTAAAAATGACTTTCTTTGGGGGCTATTTTGCCTTAGAACGGCTTGCATGTACTTCACCATAAATGGATTTCAAGAAAGGCCAAAACCTTCTCAAAGTTATTAGAAAACAAAGTCTCGGGCAGCATATTCATAACCATTCAATGTAATAACTTTCTGCATTTACATCATAATGATTTAATTATGCAGACAGTTAGAAAAATCAGGGGCATTAACTGTACATCCGTCCTGCTAATTTAAAAACACACATAGAAATGTCCCAAAATGGACCAGGCATAAGTGACAAAACCATTCATTCATCTTCTCAGCCACATAGCCTTCTGGGTCGCAGGGGGTAGGATGCTGGAGACTGTCCCAGCAGTCGGGCGGAAGGCAGGAAACACCGTGGACAGGCTGCCAGTCCCTCGCAGGGCAGATACACAGACATACACACTCACACCAGGGGCATGCCCGCCCACATGTCTTTGGACAGTGGGAGGAAACCAGAGCACCCTGAGGAAACACACGCAGACATGGGAAGAACATGCAAACTCCACACAGTGAGAGAATCGAACCCAGGCCCTTCTTGCTGTGAGACGACAGCACTACCCACCAACTGTCAGCACAAAGTATATAGCAAATCTGAGTAGTCAAAGAATTATAGATTGTAGGAGCACAAGCACAGTAAACCGCCTTGACATTTTCACGCCAAATAAGCAAGCGAAACACAGGCATTTAAAGGTTTGGAAACACTTTCACTTTACCAATACAAGACAGAATCATCTCACAAATGGTTTAGTCCTTAATAAATTACAAACATACCAAACCAACTGGCCATCAACACAATATTGCTGTCTGAATTCTTTCAATTAACCATCATCTCATTGTTCATCACTCTGCCTGCTGCAACACACTTCCATTGCTTTGGCTAATATAATGGAAAATGCAATTTAAAAACTCTCTGTACCTTCTGGCCTGTACTGGGCGATGATTGTCACCGTCTGCCCAGCTCTCTTCAGTGCAGCTGCAGCCTGTTCATGAGTGGCATTGCGCAGGTTCACACCATTCACCTGATACAAAAATGATCCGAGAAAACACTTTAGTAAAGGGGTAATTTTGACTACAAGTCTATCAACATTTGTTGAGCTTGATTCAATTGACCTGTAGAATACAAATCTGTACGGCACAGAATACAGTCATATATTTTTCCTACTCTTGGAACACACACATCCGTACAAATCAGATAAGCTTTAGGAAAAAAAATGGACACATGAATGTATGATTAAATGTAGAGGCCATAGTCTACATTTTTCTGACTTTTTCCCTTGAAGTGCACTTATAACATTAGTGTGGTTTCATATTCCAAAAACATTCTTAACTCATTTGCATGGCCATTTTTAACTTCTTTTTATGCTTATAAACATGAATTTATACAACATTGGAAATCATAATGCTGGAGGGAAAACATGATATCATTTGATTAATATTATTTTTCTGCTATAGCACATAGTCATCATCAGAAGATGTCCAGAAGTTTGTGGGAAACCATGTCCAGGGACACGAACTAAAACGTAAAGAAGGTTGATTTTGATTTCAGGTTGACTTTGAAATGAAACAAGATTTTGTTACTATGCCTTTAAGAAGTATATATGTAAATGACTTCTGTTCTTATTGGCTGCCCTGTATTGTGTCTCCTTAAAAAAAAGTCTGAAATGAAACATTAAATTAACTTCAATTCCAACTGAAATCTTCAGAAAACAGAATAAATAAACCCCAGCTACTCCTCTGGATTCTGGATCCTTCGGAATCCTTAGATCTTCCTCTAAAACAACTCTGCTACAGAATGTCTGCAGTAACAACACTTCTTATCACTTCACCTTGAATGAGTGAGCTAAACTGCTGTTTAGTAGGCTGTTTTTGCTGCTTAGTTTCCATATTATGGACTTTACAGACATGAGTGTTAAACCTTTAACATGAGTGTTAAAGCTTAAGTCTTAAGCTGTGATGTGCAATATGGGGCATACTGCTCTCTCAGAAAAAAAGTTATTCTTTTCAGAAAAATGTCAGAGATACTGGGACTGTATTCAAAGAATGGTGGCCAAAAATGACACCACTGGTTGATTTTTCCCTTTAGCCAAATTTGCTGAATATTGACATAAATTGAAACTCAAATATCTCACTAGGGCATTATCAATTAAGGTTTATCACAAATACATTTCAACAGGGTGTTTTACTTATGCCATAAATCAGACCTTTTGACATTTGGGTCTGGAATACCCATATGGATGAAATTTAATAATACCATCAAGTACCACATTTAGTTTTGAGAAGGCATCGCTATCAGCCTTGGAAATGAAGATGTAGTAAAGTTGCCTCATGTGTTTTTTCAATCTGTAGTTTAATGTTACTGGCAGTTACTGACCGATAGTATGCGATCTCCCCTTCTCAGCTCGCCACTCAGGTCAGCCGGCCCACCCGCCAGGATGAAAGAGACGAAAATTCCTTCTCCATCCTCCCCGCCCACAATATTAAAGCCCAGTCCTGTGGAGCCCTTGTGCAGAAGGACCTTCCGTGGCTCCCTGCCAAAAAGAGCAACAACGTCAGGGCACTGATCAGGGCACAGACCAGCCAACAGCGGAGAGTGGGGGCAGGAGAGAGACACTGGTGCAGCAGAAAAAGAGATAGGTGGGTGAACAAGTGCACCTCATACAGCTAGGGGTGTAGGACAGTGTGGGGCAATCGTCTCTATACACATTTGACCATCACAAAGGAAGCAATCAAAGTCCTTCCCCTAGAATTACCGGCATGTCACACTGTAGGAAGTGATCCTCATCCTTGGCAGGGAGCAAAGAGTTTAATATATTAAGTGTGGGTTGCACTAAGTTTTGATATAACCACTGGAAATAAAGCAGGGTTGTGTTTTTATGCAAAATACAGTGTATAATACACAGTGAAAAGAGAGAAGAAAGGAAGATGAATAGCATTGTCACATAAAACAAAGCTATGATTCTAGTCAGGACTTGATGAGACTGGCAAGCCTTCATTTTTTACAAAGCTTAACAGCAAGTCTGTTTCTCCAGCACACACACACACTTTTTTTCTCACACATACACAAACACTCACACACTGAGCTCATTCCTGCCTCATGCTTGACCACTCCACTGCAGTTCGGTTTTAGCTGCTGTGACTCATCTGCAGGCAGAGAGGCATTCCAGACTGCCCAGTGCTGGCATCCTGCAAAGTCTGAGCCGCAGTGATGGACGATCGAAAGCCTTTCCCAAACTCACTGAAGATTAACACGGGGCAATAGCGACAAAGCCAAAGGAAATCAGGCACACATTCACACAGTGCTATCCCACACGTACCTCAAAACTCCTTGCTTTCCACGGTGCATGTTTTCCATTAAAGTACTGTACTTCCATAGTTTAATACTTGGGCTGCAGTTGACATGAGCCATTCCCATTTTGATTCCTGTGGCTGTACTTGCTGCTGCTGATGATAGCACTTTTGCATTAGTGGTATTCTGTGACAGACTGCGTACTTTTCTTTTGAGGATTTAAAGACCACAAACAACCACTTGGCTCACTAAACATGGAAAGTTTTCTCCAAAATGTTTTAGAAACTATATAAAGGACAGTGTAACATGGAAAACATGCTAGTGGTTTACACAACAGTTTGTGCAGAATAGGGGTGTAACAATGCATAGAATTCAAAATTTGATTTGATATGGTATAGTTGTGCCTTAGCCCCACCCTCTCCCTACCCACTGTACTCTGATAAGATGCAATCAGATGTCTACCTTTGATCATTGACTGTGGTCTCCACGAAAGATGATAAGTCAGAGATCCAAGGAAGAAACCAGGGGGCATATCAGCGAAACAGTTTTCAATTTCAATGCACTGTTTCAAGTTTGATTCTTCAATACGTGCTGAAATTGTTACAGAATTAAACCATGCACTACGTTGATATAGTCTGACTACAGTTCCTGGAAACCTCATGTCTGTATAAATTTGTTGCTAGATATTTGATGATACCACATATAAAGACAGTCTGAACATCTAATTATGGAGCTACCATCAACACACAACACTGCTTTCCATTAGAAGACTCACTGGGCTCTTAATAACAGTACTGTATTTCACTTAAATTTGCAATGCATTTACAGCCAGATCTGGCCAAACTGTTCAAATATGAGGTGTCAAACACTAGTTGACGAAAGTTCTTTTACATTTGCCTTTACAGTAAAAAGCAGCAAACAAGTCTGCAAGCTTCTATTCTGTTTCTGAAGAAATCTAGATTGCATGGTGTCCTTTTAAGACATGGTGTATAAAGTAGCCATGGCATTCAGAAGGAAAAGTAACGCACACACAGTTACCTGGTGCCTCTCTGCTCAGTCCTAAAGGAGCTGTTTTTCGCAGCTTGTCTCTCCAGACTAAACCTCATCATCGGCATGGAGGAGGAGATGTTCACGGTGAACATGGTGGCTGCCACCAGCTACTCCACACAGCCTGGGTGGATGGTATCCTGAGACTGCCTATTTCTCTGTCCAGTTTCTCGTGTGGTGCTATGTGTATGTGTATGTGTGTGTGTATGTGTATGTGTGTGTGTGTGTGTGTGTGTGTGTGTGTGGAATCTTTGAGTGTAGGGGTGTGATGGGAAACAGCTCCACTTTGGCTGTCACACACTCGCCTCATCAGGAACTGTGTAAGACTTAACTCTTCCACACCCTCATTCACATTTTCTCCTGATTATTGCACAAACCAGCACATTCTTTCTTCTATCACACATCTCTCTTCGACCTCTCTACATCATCTGACCTATATCATCTTATCACAAAGATAGAGTGGTGATCGAGGTCTTCTTGAGTTAACAGTCTCTGTGTCATTCTTGCTCTCATCTCCCATGTTAGTTCTACACCTTCAAAATCAAACCGGCATATTGGTCCCAATCCCTCACTTTTAAATGGGAATTCTACAATTTTTTCACAATTTCTTCATAATTTAATTGTTAAAATATAAACTAAGTTATTCAGAGTAGTTTAATGTGTAATGCTGAATTAACAGTAGTGGTGAAAGGAACCAGACATCTTACTTAAACAAAGGTGTTTAAGGCCTCTTACAATTACCTCATAGAAAGTTATTGCATGAAATGATTATGAATAGATTGCCTGATGCCATTATTTTATGTTAGCGTTAAGATTACATACATATTATTATATAAACATACATATACATTACTTATATAAACTCAGAAGACGTGAAGATTCATCAGTTGTTTTGGGTTGCAAATAAAATGGTTAACATTATGTTAGTGTAAAGATTACATATATATATTATTACACAAACATACAAATTACATATACGTATGTTTATATATAATATGTATATTTATATTATATATGATGTATAATGTAAACATACATATCATATAAACACCCATATATATATATTACATATATAATCTCAGAAGACGTGTAGATTCATTAGTCATTTTGGGTTGTAAATAAAATGGCTAGGTTACGTTGTAGACATCATGAGTCCTGGTTTCTATCCCCACCACTGTAAAGAAATCTGAGTTGGTATGTTTCTCTACAATGCCCCATTTCACATCAAACCACACAGTTGACTTTATTTATATCTCAGTGATTGAATTATGCAGAAACTTTAAAAAATTGATGGATTTCCCCTTTAAAGAAACTCCTCATAATATTATATGGAGGTTGATTAAACCTTAAAAAGGTTCAGACTCAGAAATATGGTTCTCTATAGAACCGTCCACTGAAAGGTATGGCAGTGCATAATGAACCCTTATTGGCAACTTGTTGGGAGGGTGGAAAGAGTTAGATTAGATTACACTACACTTTGCTATAACCGCCCAAAATAAATCAGCGTTGCGTCTTTTATACAAAATATGGTGTATAATGCATAGTCAGTGGTTACTTTGGGTCTTCATGAGAAAGGCAACATACCACCCTGCCGAAAAGAACCATTAGAAACAATTAGGATTAAAACCTAATGGCTTTGCTTTCTAATGGGTATTGGTTTAATGGTTTCAAACAGAGACCACTAGTTTCCTGTAGAACACCATTAAGAAACTATCAAATGCATTTAGAATTAGCCACTGGTCACCTGTTAAACCATTAGGATCCTTTACATTGTGATATCAACACATTAAAAGCCAACACACATTATAAAACCATCTGGAACCAACAGAAACACTCAGTGATTTCTATGGGTTTTTTTAGCAGGGCAGCCTGTCACCTCAACCTTCTTAGGCAGATTAGCTAACCAGCTTCCATGTGGCCTGTCTGCTAATTTGAGAATGTGTAAACACAGTAAATAGTATGCGGTCCATTCAAGCACTGTAAGCATGGAGGCTCACGCCTGAGCATCTGAGAACTGACTAACACTGTATTGGATTTCGTCATGTGTTTGGCCACATTACGCATGCTTCATATCTCTAACCACATGTGTGAGAAAAAAGCACGATAACAGGGGAGCAGACAACTTGGGCAGTGCCAGTGGGGGCGAAAAAAAGAGAGGAGGAGTAAATTCCAAAGGTTATGAACACAGTTATCAAGCTCCTTTCCCTATCATGAGACCTGCCTCCCTTCCCCCGCTGCCTTCAATACGGTGCGGAGGAATTCTTAATTTTATCTGTCGTGCTTTCCCACTCTATTCCATCCCTCCTTCTGTTGCATTTGCTGTTGTCTGTCTCTTTCTGATAATGTTTGTGGTGAGTGCCCCCCCCCCACCCCTTCAGCTCTTTTGTGGCGCAGACTGAAATTCCCTACCCTCTCTGCTCTGCATGGAGCTGTGAGGTTTTGAGGTTTACCAGGTCACAATGCCCCAGTGCACTCCACGTCTATATCTCTCTATCGTCATCTCTCTCTCTCTCTGTGCTCACAGTAATTGGTTCTGCTTGGGTGATTAATAGTGGACACTGCAGACACGTCTCTTCACAAACACACAGAGGCCCGACTCTCTCTGGGAAACATGTACTCTTTGGCAAGATCATAGTCCTGTGGCTTTCACGGCTGCCATGCGCCACTCTCTTGGTTCCTCTTTCTGAGGCAGCTTTCGAAGTCTCGGGTGAATACTCAGCTCTCTCCCTCAGAGCATGCTACTTCATTCTAATTTGGCTCTGCACCAACAGACGGTTCAAGACATTTCAGGCCTTCCAGAGCAGCTAAGAATAAACTTGGTGTGATAAATGATTAACAGTTTAAATGCTGCAGCCTAGCTAAAGCTGCCAAAAATGACCCCTACGTTTGATCATACCTTTCCGCCGTTTAATGGGGTTTACATAACTTAGTGGCCCAGATATACACAGTTGAAGCGATAGGAATTTATGGGGCTATGAGCTGTAAAGAGCTGACCATTTTTACAGTCACTGTTGACACGTGAAAGTCATCAGCACAAAGTTACTGATCAATCCACCATGTTCTGTTGTGTACTCTGAGCAAACAGAGCTGGTCAGACGCACAGGTTTCTCCCACATACACGCACAAGGCTGATACTGACCCCACCAGGGTGTTTGTACCACCAAGCATTCATGGACAGTGCGGCAGTCAAGTCAC